CACCCAACAAAAGCTATTTCAATTCGCTGATGATACTTCCCTTTCACTGCAAGGGCACAAGCAAAATTTACGGGAGGCAACCACGATACTACAGGACTTCGGCAATGCCACATGACTCACCCTCAACAAGGAGAAATGCTTTTTATACTGGTTTGCGAAATACCTTGCCTTGGTTGAATGTTTTCGGGTGTAGGATTGCACCTCCAAATACCTGTCCAAATTATTAGTGACGATTTTTGGCATTTTCTTAGTAACATCAGATGTGGACAACTTTCTTGCGGCCAAGATCAACCGGAAGTTGAAGTATTGGTCCCAGGTTCACTTATTGCTTGACGCTTGAGTGGTTATAGTGAATTTCATTTTACTTTACTTTCTGTGGTATTGTATAAGTTTGTGGGGCGGTTCTTGGAACGTGCTCAATACGATCAAGATGTCACTCAAGAACTACCTATGGGCACGATCGGCAGACTTCGTATGTACCAGGGTTCAATGGACAAATTGATGTGTTGCAAAACTGATGGGTGGTCTTGCTCTCATCGATCCTCATGACGCGTTGATCGCACTCACAAACAAGTGGATGATTAAGACCCTGACGCTAGGAAATTTGCCTCTTCACATTCTCCTTCGTCAACGCGTCATGACACTCCGGCCGACGTCAACATGTCACTGGCAACAAAGCTTGCAATGGGCAATGCTTCAACCGTTCTCGACCCCTTGTGGAGCTCCGGTGTGGGAACGCATCACTCACGCATGGAAGCGGGCAAGTCCTAAGATCAAACCCACTCAGCCCACCGCTGCAGAAGTTTGTAACCAACACTTATGATGGACAATTCAATACTTAGGGGAGAACTGGAGATTTTCATAGCCAAGGCCGAATTTACTTAACTTCCAAGGTCTCTTGTGACTTTGACATCTATGGCAGACCGATTCTATCCGCGCTCGCCCTTAGAAGGAACTTCAGCAGCAGTAGCGACTTCGAGCAGATGAGCAACCAAAATGCCATTGGTAGACGGCATTTTGGTGTAGGTTTCCCGCAGTGGAAAACGTTCATCCTCACAAAGGGCTGCCAGACCATCAAAGGCAAATGGGTGGATCTTTTCATCGGAGCTGACTCGGAAGATCTAGCTATCCTTTTCACAACGACTGCACGATACTCCCAACGCTTCCCTTTGAAGAAACAGACCTCAATCTCCCTGCTGACATTCCTCCATACACAATCGGGGCTCGATCTCGTCGACTATTTACAGTCCCAGTGGAGCTTCCCCTTCCAATTGGGAACTGAGTCAAACTATTGCGTAGCCGGATTATCATGGTCCCGGCCAGACATCAACAGAAGGTTGTCACACGAGCTTACTACCTGGCTCTGTTGACCAGACTAGTGTTCGATACTTGGCGTTGGCGGTGGAGCTCCACGACTATTCCGCCAAGAAAGGTCGAACCCTGCTCAACACTTGAGTCGAACTTTCTCTCCCAATCGCGACAAAGTGGCACGACCTACTTCCAGCCACATTCATACCAGATTGGAAAGCTCTATGGAAAAATGCTCAGCCAAGGAAAGACGCGGCGTTTATGTGGAGCATCTACCACCGTGCTGTAGCGATGAATAAGTGGCGACACCGCGCAGTGCCCACAATTTAGACACCTGCTCATGTTGCGATCTACAATATCTTTTCTTGTGCCAAGGCCACAACATCCTGGTCTTATATGACCCACATCCTACATGCAATGTTGCAACGACGTGGGCAGCATTCTCCCATGCGAGAATTATCATGGCACCAATGCATTTTTGACGATGATCTTCATCAACCTTTGCAGGAGTATCTCTCGGCTTGGTCGTTGGTGCCAGGCGCTGCCCTATTGATTATTTGATTGCAACGGGATCATCGCGTGTTTCATGATCACGCATGGCCCTCGACACTGCTTGAACAAAACCTATAGGATGCATTATTGGATTTGGCTTGCAAAGCCTGGGCCAAAGTGCGCTGAAGCGAGCAACACCAACCCACATGCATTGATAGTGCACGACGCTAGTTCTCGAATCATTGGGACCATAGGCCCTGTTCTTCTCGTGGCGGACGGAGGATTCTTGGTGGAACTTTCAGCGACCTTAATCCTGCTCCCACTTCCATTGTCTCTCATGACAATGCATAGATTCTGTGGGTATTTTATGTGAAAATCATAAATAGGGAGTTCTTGGAGGTATGGTGAGTGGAGCTTGTGTTTGCTTGGTTGTGGGGTGGTGTATTTGATTCATTTTGCGGTGGAATAAACTCACCAATTGCTAAGAAATAAAAATAAAAATAAAATATATATACATGCAATATTTGTAATTTAATTAATTTAAAAAAATAGTTTTTCAAAGCAAAAGCAATTAATAACTATAATTTATCACATTCCAACAAATTCTACATATTTGTACGAAAGGTATCAAAATATACTAACATAGACTTAGGATTAGGTGAAAATGGTTCAGAATTTTATTGCAAGTGTTATAATATATTAATCAATCAAATAATGTAAACTGAAAACATGACAATTTTAAAAATATAACATAAGAACGATACATTATTTATAACTTCAAACGACCAAACTTTCGTTTAAAAGTTTTATTTTATAAGTTTGTTTATTACATACATATTATTACATATCGATGTGAAGACATCATTTAGTCCTTTCTCTTTCATTTAATTACATACAAAGAGTTATTTAACTTTTACATGATTAGCTTGATTTTCTTTCTTAAGTGTAGGTTGAAAGTGTATTGAACATTTTTAGATTTAACCCATTATAACAACTATACAAACATTTCTGAATCACTCTCATTTCTTCTTAACAAGCTCCAAATCGATATAACTTTTGAAAATTTCAAAATTGATGTGTAGTTGATCACAGAAATGTCAAATTGCTAAACTTTAAGCCAAATTTACTTTCGATGATTTTCAAAAATCTTCATGCAAAGCTAAATGTAACATGCTCGCATGCAAAATATTATTTATATATTATTATAAATGTTATGTTATAATAACACAAAATGACCACTGTTTCACTAAAAGATACATTCAATGAGAAAAAATACAAATGTTGATATTTAGACTCCAAATTGGCCAAAATTGTTACTAAATATAAAGAAATATCAAAAATATCACGGATGATATTGACGCAACAAAAATTTGATTGCGGACAAAACCACTTTTTTATCTACCAAAATTGACAATGTATACAACTATGAAAGAGAGTCGGTTTCATTCATAGTTTTAAAAATGGACTATCTGCATTTATGCTCACTCCCACTCAAGTTCTCATTCAAGTCTGTGCTCCCAGATTCACAAAAGCACAAGCTCACTCACTTGCAAAATGTGTGAAGGAAGAAACGGGTCACTTCAGCGAAGAGGTTCTTTCTTGAACAGCTAATCTAACTTACAGAAGATCGAAGAAAGAAAACGACATCAGTGTGTGCAGATCCCTCTCCCGAGAATGTATGCACGAATACAATTCAACAGGGAATTGAATGAGACATGAATAAGAAAGCAGGAACAAAAAGCCAACAAAATGGTAGGGCAATGTGCTACAGACGCTTTGCTTTGTAATACGATATATCCAGCAGACCGCTGTGACTTGTGACAACTGCGTGCGAACAAATGGCAGCAGGAAACACAAGGACGATTGAAAAAGTCATGGCCAGCAAATGAGTACCTGGAAGAAAGTTCTCCAGATCTGTAGGTGGGAAAATACTCTTCATAAAGGTCGAACATCACAAAGGACCTAAGCACTCAAAGAGAAGCACTGACCACAACCATAAGATCTGCCATTTCTTACCTTTCCAGATAACGTGCAATTGACAGAAGCAATGAGCAACAAGAACGCAGCACTAGTGAGACACAGAAAGTTATAGATATCAGTCTCAATTCACCGAACCTTCCCAGATATCCAACATGCAGATGAAACAGTACCATAAAGGCGAAGATACTCTACCAAATACTTTAAACATAACACAGTATGGAAACCAGCGACGAGACCCATGTTGATGTAGAAGCAACTACAGGAAGTACTTGTGGTCAGCGAAAATAGAAGTAGAGAAAAATAATACTAGAAGCAGACGAAAAACAAAGATAATTAAGACACAACTCAACGAACTTCCTGGTATTTCAAACGGCAGAATCATCAGCTTCATCTGTGACGTGTAACAAAAATGGGTTATATAGCAGATATCCTCAAAAACGATTCAGAAAACGGCAGATGCTACCCCTAGCCATAAAGTTCGTTAGAAAAGATACCAGGATAGAAATACTCAACGACAGCCATGTGCTTCATAAACATAATGTAATAGGTAAACCCAGGACCGGGGATATGACAGCTCTTCAATAGTCCCCATTCAATGAACTTCCACGACCGATATGTTCCCAACATCGCATGACATCATTCAGCTAGATTACTTAAATCTAAGGCAGTATATAAACAATCTCTACTGAACGAACGGATTTATATGTGCAGTGATATAACTCCGACACGTAAGCAGACGAAAGCTGACTGTGTAGACAGAAGGTCAGACGGCATATCGTGCTAATTCAAATCTGAAGATTCAAATGTTTTATATGACCCCAGCAAGGAACAAAGTATTCATTTAAAAAATCAATTTCGATGTCATTGAAGAAAATGTGCGAGCAACTCGCTGCGCAACTCCGGAAGAAAGGCTCCAAAAGATTGACAATCGCCAAGAGAAGTAACGAAAACATAGGGCAAGTATCCGGAGTGACATTTCGATGTTTTAAGACAGGTCAATAAGCAGGCTAGAAACAATTCACACTCAAGAATGAAGCCTAAGTGGGCACAGCGACGGCTTCATAAAACATCCCAGAGCTTCAGGCAAAGTCGTGAAGGTACGTTTAAGGTTGTAAATAAAATTTCCACATCTATGCAAAAAGTGTAAACATCATGACCGTCTTCCAGTATTCAACAACTGTTTCCGGTGAGCTTTCAGCAATGGATGCGAACGATGTACTGTACCTGTCTTTGGTGATATTAATTTCAATGACTACGTAAAATATTTCCATCAAGATGTCGAGAGGAACGCGATACTGCGGAAGATACTCTCGTACACACGAACACTATTCACAAGACCAAAAATACAACTATCCTACTCTATTCAAACAACAATGTCAGGACTGCTGGAGCTGTACAGAGCAAGGATTTACTCACGTGAGACACGAACTTCTCCTCCAAATACGATGTTAGAGCGTGCTGTAAACCCCAGCCAATTACACGGGCTTTAGAAAGGCACTATGAATCTGCACATTGATCTCAAATTTCTGTCAATTCATTCATATCTTACAACTCTTTCCTCCCACATCCTACAACTTAGAAAGAAGGGGCGTGATTCCAGTGCCACGCGCAACGGCTGATGAAAGGCACCGATGTAGAACCTCAACGTGACAGTGCGATTTTGATGAATACGAAACTCCAGAACAAAGTGAATTGAAAGTAAACCCCACCTTGATAATTGAGGGGTTTCTGTTCTTCCAAAAAAGAAAATACAAGTACAAAGGTGTCCTATGTAGTTTCTGCTGAATTCTAACTACCCGCAAATCGTCTCCCTCTCAAGACAGCAAAAAGAAAAGTACTATGGAAATGCCGCCGCCCCACTACTCGTCGACATGCCGAATTCTAGAAGATGGTATCTTGTAGAATATCATTCTCTGGCGAACTCCTCAACAGCGCAATTATTTCAGAATCAGAAGCCAGACAGGAACAACACTTGAAGCCAAGTCCGTCTGCTTGACCCTTTGATCATGGGCTTCGTAAACTTTCACGGTTAAGTGGATCAGATTACTCCAGTGGACGACTAGCCTGCCGACTTTACGACAGTCGAATAGTCAAGATGTGGAGGTCCGCTGTCAATTTTCACAATATATTCATTACAAGCATGTACTATACCACTCTTCTACCTAAGAGACAATTTTTGCCTCAACACGTCCATGACAGATCCGAAGTCGTCGCGGACAGCAACAGGGGGGTTCGCATAAGTGCATGCAAGACCTTCAAGCTCCTTAGAGTGGTAGGCAATCTTAGACTGCGTGAACTTCAACCCATGGGCGGTACTAACGACAACAGTTCTATCAGTGGGTCCGATAACTCCGCGCTTGCGAAGTTTCATCAATGCGGTGAGGGCGACTCCAGTGTGCGGGCACGTGAACATGCCAGTCTGATCAGCAATGGCGGCGGCGTCCATCAACTCTTCTTCGGTCGCCTCCTCCACGATACCATCACAGCGCTGCAACGCGTAGATTGCTCGGTCTATCGATACAGGGTCACCAATCTGGATGGCGGAGGCAAATGTTGCGCTCGCGGTAATAGGGCTGAAATTCTCAAAACCATCTTTGTAAGCTCGGTACAGAGGGTTGGCATTCGCTGCCTGGGCACAGACCAGGCGGGGAATGCGATCGATGAGACCCAGCTCCTTGCACATGTTGAATCCCTTGTAAAAAGCATAGATATTACCAAGATTTCCTCCGGGAACAATGACCCAGTCGGGCACTTGCCAATCGAACTGCTGGCAAATCTCAATGGCTGCGGTTTTCTGGCCTTCGAGGCGGAGACTGTTCAAGGAGTTCGCCAAATAAATAGGGAGCTCTGCGGTTACTTCTCTGATCAAACGCATGCATCCGTCAAAATCCGTGTCTAAGCTCAACACCAAAGCTCCGTTGGCAATGGGCTGCACGAGCTGCGCGATGGAAATTTTGTTTGCGGGCAGAAAGACGATAGCGGGAATTCCAGCTGCGGCACAATAGGCAGAGAGAGCTGCGGAGGTATCACCCGTGGAAGCACATCCGACACCGACGACGGGCTTCTTAAGCCTCCTTAACCTATTGACCTGACTGACGAGAACGGTCATTCCCAAGTCCTTGAAGGATCCCGTGTGACTGATGCCGCAGTGCTTCACCCACAGGTCGTTCATCTGCACGACTTCTCGCCCGAACCTCTCGGCCCAGAACAGATTCGAATTGCCCTCGAACACGCTGACGATGTCATCGTTGTCAATTTCCGGCAGCACCCACTCCTTCTTGCTCCACACTCCAGACCCATAGGGCCAGGTGGTCTTGCCCACTCGAGAGTCGAACAAGTTCTTCCAATAATTCGCGTCGAACTTCTTCAGCGCATCCATGTCGTGCTGCACGTCCAAGAGCGCACCGGTTTTGCTCCTGTAAATGACCTCATCGAGCGAGTACTCCTCCGTCGAGGGAGTTCCCGGGGTGAAGGGCACATACTTGGCAGAGAATGTCGTCTCCGGCTCGGACCGCCCATGCCTCCGTGCCTCTTCCTTAATGTCCTCATTGTCCAATCGCTTGTCGGAAATCGGAGCAGGCGAATCCGCAGCAACTTCCGCCAGAGGGACGGTGTTCAACTCGGCACTGGCCAACACAGGCGCGAGCTCCCTCCTCCCCGACGACGAACGCAGCCGCTTCTGCTGACGACGTGACGACTCCCACACGCATCGGGACAACCTCGCTTGCCCGACAGAGCTCGAACTCGAGCGCAACGACGCCGACGAGCACGACGGCACATTGAAACCGGGGCGCACACCGACGCCAGAAGCGATCGAAAGTGCGGGCGAGGCCATCATGGCTAGAAAAAACACCAGCCGCGGTCCTATTCAGAAAACTCTCGTCGATGGAAAAGACTTTTCAATCCCTTGCCTGCCCCCCGAAATCCACACGCCGATCGCAATTCACGTCCTCTCGGTCTCCCACCCGCCACCCCGCCCGAGCACTGAATCTGGTCTCGCACTCCACTCCCGCATTCACGCACGCTTCAATCCCTCGACAATCCTCCCACAACTTCCGACCCTCGCGGCCTCGCGCGCAACGTAAAGCCCAAAAGCGACAGCGCGCCCTGCCCGCCCTCGTACGAACGCCCTCGATCGAGATTCGAGATAAAAAGACCTCCGCCAGTGGGGTACAATGAATGTGCTGCCTTCGATGAAGACCGCAGATAGATAGGGCGGGGCGGGGCAGGGCACTGTCCTCCGGTGGGACAGGGACAGGGACAGGGACAGGCCGTGCTGCTGGGCGAACCGTGCTTCTCGTGGAGCGACTGGAGGAGGACACCTAGTTTAGGGGCGGGTGGCGCCACGGGGAACGGAAGGAATTAGGGCGGGCCGAAGGTATCCGGAGCTCCGCTTTTGGTTGGTTGGTCCGGCGAAGATGAATAGGAGGAGGAGGAGGAGGAGCTGGAGCGCAGATATCGGCCGCTAAAAATGAATGCCGCGAGAGTGACGAGGCAAAAAGGTGCCCTTTCTTCGTTTCGTTTCTTGCTTCCTAGTGACTCCAGAGGAAGCGAGCGCCGCACTTGGCAGACTTATCTATCTCATGCGCTGCCAACTACGTCCGGCCAAGATAGGGCGATAACTTGGACGCAAAGTAGATATGCGGAGATAGAGGGACAGGCGGACAGGGGCGGAGGCTACTTGTGCTTCTTCCACCCGCCTTCCTCCACCCTCTCCTCTCCGTTGACATCGTCGGTGATAAATCCTGATTTCTATCGAATAGAATTTCGGTTTATTTAAAAAACATTATTTCAACATTAATCTTAATCAACTGTAGTAAACTATTAGCTCCTGATCACAGTAATGATTGTAGTAACAAATAGCTCATGCTTCTAAGAATTCATTATAGGATATATTTACGTTATCAAAAGAATGCGTCATCAGCATTGAATAATTCGGTACTAGTAATACTATTGGAGAATCTGGATGTATACTCTTAATAAACAACATTTTCTTATCTCCTTGCCCATGCAAAGTTCTAAATGATCAAATCCGAATGTTGAGAAATTATTTAATGAATATACGCTGGATAATATCATACTAAGGATTTGAATTTTGACCATCTCTAAACCTTTCCAAGACTAATCTTTGTATAGTCATTACTACAATGATCTTTTGCATCAATCATTTAGCATCTTGAGTCACAATTAGTTATTGGTCTTTTCTTGACACGTTCTGACAATAAAACTTTATCTACTGTATGCACAAGTCTATTCTTATGTCATTCGAGAGTGATATTGAAACTTGAGGTAGATTTACTAAAACATCTTTAAGCTCATACCGAGATGCATGATTGAATCTTTTATCTAGATCTCGCGGATCCATTATATAAACAAGATCGTGTGCGCCACTGAACATGAACTGAGAGCGTTGTGAGGCTAACAAAACCAGATATTATAATTCTTTGGATGAAATCAAGCTGCAAGTGTATGTTGTTGGAAACAAGTTAGGAGTTAGTGAAAATCAAATAGAGCCACCAACAAAGTTCGATTGGTATTTGACAATAAGCTAGTCAAAAATATCCAAACTCTTCTTCATGTTGATGAAAAATGTATACTTGACAATGAATCTCTTTGATTCAACCGCAGTTTTATTTTTTTTGTACTAGTAGTAACAACAACAAAATCACGCTTAGAAACTATCTCAAATAACAATTATTTTGATTTCAATATTAAATTAAAGCTACGTTGTTGTGAATCTAGTTGACGCCTGCTTCATCAAAGAGGACAATCTCTCTTGGTTCTGCATGGTTTTAAAATTTTGATTTTATTGCATGATGATTGTTAAAGAATTTGAGAATATCTTTACAGTTTTTGGCGAAGAGTAAGAGAATTTAGCCATAAGTATGAGTTGTGACTATCTTTAACAAGTTGCACGTCTTTTTATTTATAGAGTTATTATTGATGACAGCGCCAACAAAAACAATGTTTAGATGTTTTTTGATGATATAGCTGATGTCGTGAGCAATCCATTCAATTTTGTGTCCTTGTGTGCATATGCATATGGACTCTAAGAACAAGCTTGCTGAACATGTAATTTAAAATAGGTTTATTGCAAATATTAGATTAATTATCGTTGACACTACAAAATTTTGGTAACAAAACTACTAACTTGAGAATGTATATCTTATCAAAACAAGATTCCAACAAGACAAACTTGAGATAACAAAGTGTATAACTTGAGAATGTATCTTTTCTCAATCTTGCCATAATAGGAATACAAGAATAGAATAATGTAACAACAAAGCGTATAACTTGAAAGTGTATCTCTCCTGAAACTTATCATAGCACAAATACAACAAGTCATACATTAACTAGGCAACAATCATTTATCTAGCCACAACATTTTAATTGATTCAATCACATTTTTATAAAATAAAAATGTGATTTTTATTTTATATGCATGGGAACAATGTCAATTTGAAGTAACAGTGATAAGAAATGATTATCTGAAACTTCTTCTTGAAGCGTACATCATGTTTATATAGATGATTGGATACTAGATTTTTGTCTTGTGGCCTGTGATAAAAGTGATGGAGTTTCGTGTCTCTTTGGTACTATATATCATCTGAATCAATCGCTAATGTCCATGTCATTTATTAACTGCTTGAATGGAATGCAGCGATTAAGATGAACTATCACATTTTTGTTATTTTTTTGATAATGCAGATCCTAGCAGTTGCTAGGATCTGCATTTTGTCAACTTTTTGGTTTCCGGCGATTGATTCAAACGTGAATGATTTTTGTCTCGAGATCGGTTTTGTTCAGTTGGTAGATTGATGAAATATTAGGATTTCAAATCAATAATTTTTACACTCAAAATCACACTAGTAAGTTATCTCGTTTGCTATTAAATTAAAGACTTTAGAATTTACAACTCTATGTTAAATTTCCAATTTAAAACCCGATCTCATACCAAGAAAAAATGATGGGTATTTTAGAAAAATCTTTGTAATCCAGCACGGATGGAGCTCTGAATTCCATAGGCACATTTGTCGAGCGGCTTTGGTGGTGCCCTCCACCGCCACAATTGGCTGCTCGATCCAAACTGCAGCCGTTCCTCTCAATCGGTGAAGATTGCACATTCCGCGGAAACGGCGGGCTTGGGATGTTGGGCGGAAGGAGTGATGTTCACCTGACCGGCGGATTACTTGCGTCACTGAATTGTCCCGGACTCTCTTCCGTACAACCGGAGCAGTCTGTCGGTTCAAGAACATGGTCCGCCGTGGTCGGGAGTAAGACTGCAGTGGCGGTTAAACTGGGTTGGACGCAGTTAGACCATGGCAAGAGTGAACGCAGTGCTGCTATTGTCGTGAGAATGGCAGATATTCGAATGCCAAAGATGTGACCACGTGGATAGTAAATGATGACCAAACCCATGAACTCAACGTCTTATAAATCCTGTGTCAAATTTATCGGACTATATAGCGGCACCCTTGGTTATTTCGATGAATATGGCAACTGCTACAGCCAATATTGCAATTAAGAACATTCGAGTTGGAGTTGCACTTTAGGGCCCAGAACATCGTCAGAAGGTCCAAGGGTTGAAAGTCACAATCTTTTGATTAAGCGTATTAGCAACGCGGTTTAGTACATGTAGTCAAATGAGTCTAGACGTGCAAGAATGTGGATTATAAAAAATGAATTGAATTTCGCTTTCTTCATTTTTATTAATCAAAAGTGTAAATGTTTTTTTGGCATTATTTCATACATAGATCCGAAATTTAAAAATTGAGTGTATTGGGAAAAACGGACTAAACTTCTACCCACACACATCCACAAGCTATTTAACAAAACTCCCACAAATTAGCTGCCATGTTGAGGGAGGCCCCCAACAAAGCATCATCCCTCAGCAGAGCTTATCACTCATGTTGAGGACTCCGAGTTCACTAAGGAACAAGAGATATTATGATTCATTATCCAAGAAAAAAATGTTCATAAAACATTAAAAAATGGTAATGAATGTATTCAAATATGCCATACGGAACGGGTTCCCACATTATATATACTCCTCATGCATTTCTGCTCCCGCGTACACTGAAGAAGCCTTCGAGAGCGAGCTTCCCTCCAACGATAGGGTTAGAACTATGGTGACTCCAACTGCAGATTACTGTGACCACGGAACCACGACGTACGCGTTTGTGTTCTTCCACATTTTACCAGGTGCAATCCACGAGCAGAGAAGAACGTGACCGGACTAGCCGGGAAAAGCGAGATAGCCGGTGGCGGGGCGGGAGGTGAAAGAATCGGGGGCCAATTACAGTACTGTACTCGAAATCGCTGTCCGCAACGCCGTGGACCGAAAGGCCTGCGTGGCATGTCTCGAAGGTGACCTCGTGACCGGCCCGGTGATCTGCAGCCACCGGCAGCATTCGTCGTCTCCTCGTGACGTCGAGCTTTGGCCGAGATGGTGATCCGGTCAGACGAGCAGAATCGAGAAAGAATGGATTCTGCGGCATCGTGAATGCGAGCATGGGATCGCTGTCGCTCGAGGGATTGTCCCGTTTTGGAGTGTCTGAGACCGTGGCGGGGAATCCACATTAGGCGGAGGAATTTCAGCGCAGCGTACTGCAATTCGTGGGTCTTGAAGTTGTTCGGGATTGATCGAACGAGGGAAATGGGGCGAATTGGTGCCTTCCCTAGGGGATGTCTGTGAATGCGGTCGGTGATGGAGGCTGAGGATGGTGGTAGGGTTTTTGTGTCCTGTTCTCGTTCAGTCGAAGGGTTTTTGCGCGTTGGAATTTAGTGGGTCCAATTTTGGCGACAACGAATGGGGTCGCTCTTGTCGAGCTTGGTTTCTGTCAGTGAAAGTGGTACCCTAGACGAGTCTTGGCAGCATGAGTTTGAGAATTTGCGGGAACGTGTGCATTTGTGCGTCGAAAGAAAATTCTGTCTCGGATGGTGCTAGTCTTTGAGGTAGGAAGCGAGCATGGAGCCGACACTACTTGAAGATTGGCTGCAGGTGGCGAGTTCGAGCTCCACGTCTTTATCCGCCCCACCGGCTTCCAAGTCTACTCCTGAATTTGCTGCCAATGCAGTTGTTCAAGCGTGGGCTGATATTCGAACATGTGTTCAGCAAAAATCCTTGACAGATTCTCAGCGTTCAGCTTTGGATCTTCTCTTCCGGCATCGGCGGTCTCTCCATTATGCCGATTCTCAAGTCAAGCTCCTCCTTGCTTTGATGACCCAGGTGAATTCCAGTGATGCAGCATTGCTGGGAATTGCCCGAAGATTTTGCATTTCCGGGGTTTTGGCTTGGATTCGAAAATGCTACACAGGAGCTGCCGTAACCCCCAGTGTTTTGAAACAAGCTCCCGAACAGCTCTCTTCTGTATTCCAAAGCCTGAAGAAAGCTATGGATGATCGTGCCACTGCAGATGCTTATGTCTGTGAGGCAATTCTTCTTTTGGGCACCGTAAGCAGCTTGACATTTGCACCGCCAGATTTAAGGAGTGAATGTTGTGGTCTGATTGCGGTTGAATTCGAAGCTCGAAAGACTGCTATAGTTCGAGGCTCGATTTCCGAAGCCCTTGCTGGTGCAGGATATGCGATATCCGTTTGTCAAGAACAACAGCTCATAACAATATTCAGATCGATGCTGAAATTGTGGTCAGATACGAAAGCCGAGGGCCCTGCAGCTCCATCTGCAAGAGGCTACGATGCCTCGCGCGGGTTGGTTTCGGTATCAGGTCTGTGCGGGGAGAATCCTCCTCTGAAGGATGTCGTAATGATTTTACACGTTATGGATTTTTTGGGGTCTTCTTTTGTCTCCAGACTTCCATATCAGTCTCAGAAAACTTCGGGCATGGAATTATTACATGATGAGCTACTTAGGTTGCCTTTGACTGATCAGGGTGTCCAGTGCGCCGGCATCATGGCCTGCGTTGGACTCCTCCGAAGTCTTTATAGATATATTCCAGGGAAATTAAAAGGGGTCCCAGCCGCCACACTTGATCCTAAGTTTCCTATCATGATAGGAAACTTAGAGGGCTTCGTGTATAGTGTGTGTGATCGAGTGATAGGTCCCGACGTAAGCATGTCCACATTCGGATCCAGTGCCGTCCATGGAGGGACTTATGCTGACGGTGTATATCGTCGAACAGATAATTTGCTTCTGATGAGATGCATAGCTTTGGCTGTGTCTCGCTGTCGAAGTCTTCGTGCCCACCCGGGTATCTTACGTTGTCTAGCTTTGTGCATCTTCGAGGATGTTCTCCATCTGGATTCTGTTTACTCCGCATCTCTCGATGAGTTCATGAGTGGTTCAGAAGTTGGAGTGAAGCAGGATGTGAATGGCGGCTCTGAAGAAGGGAGGGTTGCAGACGATCTGGATGCTGTTTTGGTGGCTTTTCAAGTACATACCGAGAGTTTTGTTTTTCAAGAGGTCGGGGCTTTAGCAAGAGCTCTGTGCGAACAATATAGCAGCATCAGAGAGGATCAACAGCGTCAAATCGAGCAATATGTTTTGGAGTTTGCAAGAAACCTTTACACGAAGCATCGAGTTTTCGTTGCAACCTCAGGGAAACCAGCAGGCCAGACTGGTCTCTCACATTATGCACGGAACATGGAGAAGTTTTTGGAAGCTGCTTTCTTGACTGTGGTAGTTTTCTACAAAGCTGCTGTAGTCAAGGATGCAGCGAGTGAGATGTCTGCATTGGAGTTATGCGCTTCGACCCTAGATTCTTTCTCCTGTATCGAGTATTTCCGCCACTTGCAGATGAAGGAGTACATTGAAGTGATCAAAACTGCCGTTAGTCGGGTTTCAGATTCTGAGGCCGGATCGGTTGCCTTCGTGAAACACTTTCCGCATTATAATGAGATCATTCACCGGCCTGGTACTTTCTCTACAATTCTGTAAACGGTTGATCGGTTACATGGATTACTCATCACCTTGATTAAATCTGTATCATTCCATTTCGTGCGTTTGCAATTAGTTTTTGTATTCATCATCCTCTCAAAGTTGAAAGAAACGTTATCTTAATGCATTGTTTTTGGACTTTCATAGTGGTGGGGCTTATCATCACTCTCTTCTAAACTGCGATTTATTTCTACTAAATGCACCTTTTGCTCATTAAAACCTCGGACTTGGTCAAGTCTTTGTGCAGGTCCATCCCGTTTGATTCTGAACTACAGCTGGGATATGGATGAAGTACAGTCCTCACGAGTCCTCTTTTACTTCAGGGTGCTGCCCCTGTGCCTCGACACGCTGCCGGATGCTGTTTTCGCACAGCGAGTTGCACCCGTACTATTTCTGTATCCATTGTTTCGATTTTGAGCTTGATATGTAGAATTTTAGTTCCGTAGATTTCTGACCTGCATCTAATAGTTGGGCCAACAATAGTAGCAATCTTAAAACTTGCTGGCCAATGGGGTGGTTACTTTGAAGTTTCTACAAGTTTGTACCTTAGATTTAAGTGTAGATTCGAAGCTTTCCTTGACAATAACAGCTACCTTCAGCATCCATCGGAGGCGATGACCAAAGCTTCTCACGCATTGTTCGGGGCCTTCGTATCGTCAAAAATTAGGCCTGAACCGACAGTTGGTCCAAGGAAGTTGGAGAACTTTGAGAACACTTGTTCCGACATCAAACCTGATTCAGCGCTGAGGGAACAACTAGTGGTGTACTATGCCCAGAGGGCTTTGGAGGTGAGATATCTTGAAGTTATTGCAGAGTTCTTAAGTTTGCAGCTTGTGTTCGCCATAGAAGATGAAACATAAAACGGGACCGAATGTACACAGCCCGCAATTGGATTTCAATTAAGCTATTGCCTGTCAACTCGTAGAATAGAACATTAGCCAGAGGCTGCAAGTAAGTATATCACGTTGAAGAATCTGGGCATGAGACAGCATCTAATGGGTCGTGACCTTAGAACGATGACGAGAACACTGACACGATGCGTTTTGTTGTTCGTGCAGCTGTACCCGGATTTCACACCGTTCAAAGGGCTTGTTTCAGGATTTGGAGCTATCTCTCGTCATTTTCCTTCGGGCAGTCCGGCAGTTGTGTACTGCTTGTCTCGCCTTGCCGAAAGGACTGGAGAGTTGTACAAAACGGACAAGCATTTGAAGACCCAAGATTTTGCACCTCCAACCAAATCTGGAGTTAACGGAAGTGACCAGTCCAGAAGCTTATCGGTAGATGACATGGGAACAGCTGAAAAACTTCAAGTTCTTCTCCTACACCTTATTCTTGTTGTTGATTTACAGGTGAGACATGTAGGTACTGCGATGCGTGACTATACGTTGGATGCAGATTTCATAACTTAGCAAACACATCTGACTTGAAATCACAATTGTGGATGGCATGGTAGCTGTGTAAGGCTGCACTTGTTTTCTTCCATTCAGTACTAGCCAGGCGACCGTCTAGTCACATCTTTCAAAATTTTGCAACTTTGACAGTAGGCCGTTAGTTATCAGATTGAATGCCTCAAAACTCTCTTTCCAACCTGAGTCACTGCTTGCTGACAGGTCTTACCCGAATTGCTGAAGCTCGTCGCAAGCCTGATTCTCAACCTACCTCTTCACCAAGGAACTGCCGCATTGGACGAAGTTTATGGTGTTGTTGCAAGCTCTGATGATTACACGCGGAAACCTGCCGTTGTACCGTGGCTGCAAAGCCTTTCGTTCCACCTTTCGAAAAGCAGGCGCCAAGTTAAGCAAGCTTACGCATCCAAGTTATGACATGCCGAGTTTTGCATTAGTCTCATCTGATACTTCGTATAATCAATGTATCAAGTTTACTTAACACTGAGTGAAAATGATGAGTTCATACCATCTTCTGAGGGTGATTTGCCCGTTACTGCATGATTTACAATGATAGCTGTAAAAATCAGCAGAAAACTTAGCAGTAATGTGTAATAGAAAACATGTAATGGCGAAGTACCAAGAAATTTCAGCGTTTGGAAATATTCACCAGCACGCGACATCTCCCTGCTTGTATGTTTCTTGTTCTACCCGTGCAGCTTTACTTGACATATTTTACTTTGGACATGAATGAAAATGACGCACAAATGAAGCCTGCCCACACCCACGTGCAGACGGGCTTATATCTATTCCCGACTTTCATCATGACTGCTCTCAAGATTATTTCGTCCTAGTAGCAATGTCGCATATGGTGAGCTGGCAGAGACGAGAAAGAATCGGTACTCAAAGTGTGACGTACATACTGTATGGTATTACATTCAATATCAACTTGGTACACCTTCAACTTTGGTTGAAGTTAGACCTCTGAAACGACGCCTAGAAGTAGATCGAACCAGTGTTGAGAACTGGAGACAACAAATTTTATTACCTGTAATTACGACATTTGTCCCTTCTACATTTGAATACCTTATACAAGGTCAATGACCACACGCTTTTTTGAGCGGGCACATTCTTGGTGCCTATAGTGTTCTGTCTGTCTAACCGAAGCATTCTTCCTCGTAAGACGAGGGTACAGCCAAACAGCTGGCAAATTGGCTCAACTTGAGGAGACACCACGTGTGGATCTCAATCGTCCTGTGTGTTCATGAAGCCACCCATAAATCCAGCGCCATTGCAGTCTCCACAAAGCATCTGCTTCTTGCCCCTGTTTATTTCACAAGAAGAATTAGAAGGCAAAACTGGCTCACCGTTACTACATGCAAAATGAGCTAAAACCCTGATAACTACGAGCATAAACAGGTACAGAGATGTCAAAAAATATTACTTCGTTCTTCACGTACAGTATCAATTGTACCAAAATAGATTATCAATGATTGAAGAACAATATAGCGGTCGTGCAGGGAATGTCACCTGAACTCCTGAGAGAGTTATGTTCTCGCGGCGAAAGGTACAATATTGCACCACATTGTGAGATTGCACAGGGTTTGATTACTTCCACTATGCAAAAAGGTATCTACGACACGAACGTTCTAAGGAGTAGATTCTATACACTCAGCCCAGCTCACCGTGCTTGAGATAAAGATCAGTAAGGAAAATCAACCCAGGGTGCCATTGGTTTCAATAGCTCGAAAACATGACAACAGGCCCCGCCCCGCTGTCCGACATTTCATCACAGCCTGTGTGAAAGGTGAAAATAGAGTTACGAGAAGATGTAGAACACGGATCCCACGTATTTCAGTTGCTTACCTGCACAGCCAGCAGATAGTGCCAGCCTTGAACCGACCGTTGAAGTGGTCCTTCGAGTTAATTCCCTCACCAACGCATTGCGAGCAGACAACAGCACCTGCAGAGTGAGCACAGAGCCAGTTACAATGCAGCACCCAAGCACAAGGTTGGAGACAGAAGGACATTTGATACCCCGCGCGGCTAACCTGACAAGAAAGATTCCGGCAACGTCACATTCAATCTTTACTGATTCCATCGAGAGCAAGGCACGAGTTCGTGGACTGATGCCACAGAGGTGAGCGAGAGAGCGGCTCACCATTTCCGTTGCAGCTCGAGCACAGAATGCTATTTACTTTCTCCACGGGAGCCCCGGGAACAGGTTCGGGAAGGGCCTGTGCAAACAGAAAACATCGACAACCAGCCCGTCAGCTCGAGCTCCTAGACCATTCTCCGCAATACAAAACATCGCCTTAACAAACAGAACAGAAATCCGCCAGAAACTCGTAACCACCTCGCAGCAAGAATGTCTGGGGAGAGGGCGGGAGGCAAAATTCGGCGATGGTGTGGCGAACGAACTACTACCGCTGCTGGAGGTGGTGGAAATGAGCCGAATCAACGGGGCACCACCAGGCGCAGCGGGAGTTGCCGAGCTCGAGGCCGACGCTCTGCAACAGCCGCGGCCCGAGACTGCGGCGTGGCTGCCCACTCCCGTGACTCCGGCCAGCGATTGCACGACGGTCGCCATAGCTGAAATTCGGAGAGCCCGAATGCTCGACAAGGAGAGAGGAGAGGGAGCGAGGAAGAAAGCAAGAGAGCAAGAAGAGAATGAGAGTACACCTGAAGGGCAGAGCTTGCTGCCGAGCTTGGCCGCTCCCTCGTGCGCTATCTCGTCCGTTATCTTCATCCTCTTCGCCCTCTGCGCTCACCATCGACCGAGAGCCATTTCCGTCAACTGTGGGTCGGGGAATCTCCGTCCCCGCGTCCTGGATCGTCGATACTTCCCTGCCCTCGCTCTTTCGGATAGGACACTGCTGACGAGTCTTGCCACTTGTCCTTGCCAGGCTCCTCGTGGCCATCTCCTCGTGACAGTATGACATCGTCCTCGACTTTAGGAGTTTTTCTCATCTCTGCTCGAGTACTGGCCTCTTGTGGAGGGAGAGCCGGGTTCATTATCCGGGGATATTTCGCTGTGGTCACTCACATCGATGTGAGAGTAGCTTTCCTCGGTAAGTTGCGTCGGTCTTCCATCGACAATCTTCACGTTCATGTCGTTTCAGGTTTCCAAGGGTGGATACGGTCCATTCTGAGTACATGTGATTTTTCGACTGCGGGGGCATCGAGGATGATGCTTCATACAGTTCTTTTGGTAGCCAATCACAGCGTTCGAAGCCATTGTGGCGCAAGAGATTTTAACTGTAGAAAGAATAAAATTAGAATTGGACCTGTTAAAGGTTGGAAGTGTAGAGGTGTGAAGCTTCTCTCAAGAATTCGGTATGGCACATTGCTCACATTACGCAAGAGAACTTTTATGGTTACCTTTACACTTGGCAACGGTTCGGAATAGGTGTATGCTTCAAGAGTCTGTAATAGAAAGTTCATGACAGCACGCCATATCAAACATGTTTGATTCGTTAGTAGAAGTGTAGTCATCCTGTACTTGGATCGGTAGGACAACATCGTGCTTAGAAAATATCGAAGCTGCCCGATGAAGAACGCAGTTATGTAAAGAGCAGACCTTCTGGTCATAGAAAGTTCATGACGGCACGCCATATCGAGCTAAATTGAGTAGTTAGTACAAGTGTAGTCAACCTGTACTGTACTTGAATCAGTAGGACAACATCGTGCTTAGAAACTATCGAAGTTGGCCGATGAAGAAGGCTGTTGTGTAAAAGGGCAGACCTTGTGGTCACTGTTGAGGTCCACACATATTGCGAGCCGTCAACACACTTCGGCGACTGAAGCTCATGGCTACTTTCACGGGTAACGATCCGAAACTTTGACATTACAAGGCGCTTTGCACTACGGCAAGACTCGCTTATCTTGAGTGATCGAGATAGTGAGAAGAATGACGAACAAAATGGAGCTTATGGGTTCAAATGCACCGCCAGCTGCGCTCGCAACCCAAGTCACGTGGCTCAGGAATTCCACAGGCTCACGAGATGACAGCACGGCAAACTCAAAACTTAACATTACCCTATTCGTACAGTGGAGTATTCAGAAGATATTAAAAAATTAGAGTGAAAAGTTCACATTTGTTTTGAATTTTATTAGTTTTCAAGTCCGCTGTATGTATGGCAATCTCGACAATTGTCGTCCTCTTCACTGGAGCAAGCAACAGACATTCCGTGATGGCTCGACTCCAACTTCAATGTGAAGTGAGAAGGTGACACTGACCTGCTACTGTAGCTAATTATGTCATTCATGTCCATCCATCAATTTTTACACTAGCTAGAGAGGAGCGCATCTTCCATGATGGCAATAAGGGTAGAGAATCTCATTTCGTCTACAGAAGGCTCCACCAGTGTTCATGTGAAAGGAAAATAAAAGAATCGCCAACCCATGAGAAATGAGTGTCGAAAAACTACATATTATCAGAAGCATATTTCTGTTCGAATTTGGGAGAGTGGCTTACAGCGTTGTAGCTCACGGTTTTCAGAAGGGCAAGTCGCAGAGTCGAATCGATCACCGAGGGTTCTTCCATAGCACCATTGCCCAAGTCACCACAAGCCAGCTTCTTCGAGATGGGCGATATTAGAATGACACCAAGCTCCTGAGCCGACAATAAGTGCCGTCGCGTAAAAGGGCTGTCCCACATAAATGTGTTCATAGCAGGGGCTATGAATATGGGCTTCGAAAAATCCCAAGCCCTAACAACGCACGTCAGGAGATTGTCGCACAATCCACCTGCGACCTGGTAGCATCAACCACGAAATGATATTAATGTGTCATCGATTTCATCCATCTACAACTCAGAAACCAAAAAGATAGCATGGTGCAGTGATTTCTATGGCGAGATTGAGAAGGAACGAGCCTTCAGGAAGATTGTTGGGGAACCATTGTCCCTACAAATTCTTGTAAATCATCGAGGAGAGCACAATACTAAGAGAATTGCGAGTGCTCATCACAATTCTGTCATTGAAAGTTGCTAGCTGTCAAACCTTAGCAAGGGTGTTAGCTGAGATCGGAGCAATGACCAAGGCATCAGCCCATCTGCGCAACTCTATATGCAAGACCTCATCGCCGATTTGTTTCCAACTTGACCATTCCTCTTCGTCTGTGTACAAGGGCACAGAAGTAGGCAAGGCGCTCCTGTCAACGAAATGGAGGGCAGATTTTGTGGCAACTGCCTTCACATCTGCCCAGTCGCAGAGACTCTCGGCCAGAATCCCAAACTTGATTGAAGCAACACTACCACTGGCTGCAAGCAGAATTCGCGGTCTCCGAGAAGGGCCCTTCTCCCTGGACACACGGGGAGACTCCATCGCCTCAAGTTTCACGGTAGAGCCCATTGTGAATATCTCCAACACCAAAAGACCACTTCTCTCGCCACGCGCACCTAAATACGCCGATCACCTTGCTATGAGCCCATCACGGAGAGGATCCGATCGAGCCACAGCGTTCAAGTCGGCTTGCACCTAAACATCGGCCCCTGAGTTTCAATTGGCGCTCTATTCTTTACTGGCGCGTAATTTCTCTTTAAACTGTTTGCTTGCCTCGAAATTTGCCTTCCGCTTCACTTCTTTCTGTTCAAATGGCACCCCAGTTTTATGATATTTCCAGTCAGATATGCTCCGTACGTCGTAAGAGATCATTGTCGCAGGCTGTTACAAAAACGACGACACGATACTTTTCCGCCGACTGTTCAAAATCATGGCTGGATTACAATCCCTCCTACATTCTTTCTTCACATGTATGAAAATAGCGATAACCAACCACAAACATTATGACATCGCAATTGCCAGACGTTCTATCCAAGCAGTTATATGATGACGTCCATTAATGTATTACCTCTGCCTTGAAGCACTTGTCGAGCTGGATTTTCAAATCAGTGCATACACCGAAGAACTTGGTGTATGGATGGTCGTCATGACATTGTTTGAACTGGGTGATGATCTGGTTGGAAACAGATTCAAGGTGAAAAAAGTGCACAATTCATACCCGAAACGCTGCGATCGTTTGGTGCAATTAATCAGGATTCTCCGAGAAAGATAACTTCATCCACAAGACAGTCTATTATTCTCCGACCTACTGCTAACTTCTTCCTATAATGACACAGACCTGATGACAATGATGGTCGCCATCATGAGTACATTCCATAAATGAGTGCATGCCAATTCAGTCGCACACAGGTTACACGCAATTGACAGGAAATTTGAGAGGAAACGAATCCGAAAAAAAAGGAGCTTCAATCGAAGAAAAAACACGGAAGGGGAGTCAGTACCTCTTGGCAGTCTGGATGCTTGTGCAGAGTGAGAGGTGGATGCATGAGTGATCTAGACCAAATTCCGGACAATCTTAGATCGATCTGCACTGCACAGAGGAATCGATCGTTAGGGCTACGACTAATCCCTTATTGCTGAAGCGGACTGAGATGAATTAGAGCTTCGCAATGACTATGGAGACGTTATACAGAAGAGCATACAAATTTATTCAAACAGATGTGCTTGTAATTTGCACACGAGCCGCGGTAGCAGGTTTCATGTGACGTGAATCTTAGAGTAATACTTCGCCCTTGACAGGGCCCCAGAGGAGATGGAATGTTACTAACACAAAGAGTACGGAATATGGAAACTTCTCCCATGAAGATTGTCACACACGGTCCCGGCAGAAACTAATTTCGTAGTACTGGTTACAAAGCTAGAAAGTCCCAACCAGCCAAAACATGAATAAGTCACCTAAACCCACATCCCATAAATATTCTCAACAAAACTTTCTTCAGCCTATTTTTCCAAGGCAAATTAAATTGGGAAGGGCAAACAGTAATCAAACGAATGCAAGTGAGCAATTCGAATTCAATTGAATTGAACTGAATCTCACGAAAGCTTCAAAAACCCCGAAAGTATAAATTCAGAAAATTCAGAAACAGCCCAGGACTTCGATCCACGACGGAGCTTACGAGAAAAGCAAGGCAAGCTCCGGCATTTCCCGCAAAGTCTCACTCCCTCCCTCCTTGCTGCTGAACAACCACCTCCGCAGTGTACAAGCACTGTCTCCAACACAATTACGAGAACTGTGGACAGAATGTAGAATCTGTAGAATCCCAACAGCACGCCTACAGAGAACTCAAAACGCAGTCCTGTAAACCCCGATCCAATCAATCACGATGGAAGAGATTCTCACTGGCTCGACTTTTCAGCATCGAATGGAAATGCTCAGTTTCTTCAGATTGATGCGTCCGAGAACGAGGGGGAGGAGGGGGAGGTAAGTGACAAGGGTCAGCGTGGGGGACAAAATCCTCAGGCCAACGGTCTCGCGCTCGAGCAAAATGGGCCCAAGCGGATCCACTTAGAACCCTAAATTTAAATTGCAACCCTAAGTCAAGCAAGGGCGGGAACAAGCGCCTGAGGTCCATACACGTGGTTTTCTTATTTCAACATATCTTCAAGTTTTCCCCTTATATTATTCAATAAAAGCATTAATCATTTATTGCCTGTACCTGCTGAGTGGACTTTCAATTTCAGCTCGTGAATCGGGGCAAAGCGTGGACTAAAAGCAAAATGCGGAGGTTGCGCTCATCATCATTGCATAATTGTTTTTTAATAAATGAAAAAAGTCCATAAAGTCGTTATGGGATGAAACCAATAGGGTACGGTGAGGCTCGTAACGACAGTATCACAATGTACTATTGCACCTAACTACATTAATTAAACCGTCTATTAAAACTATTGGAGCATGCAATAATCATCAACTCTCTCTACTTCGGGTCGCAACAAGCTCTCTTCTACACTCGGAGAGTTATACAAAATAATGAATTAAATACTATAATACCATTATAAATTAATTATATGCATATAGAATAAATATCCAAAGGTTAACAAAAACCTTAAATAATTCACATTGAAGATTTAGCTCGTTGTATATCATCTCCTTCCAAGTTACGTCTAAAAAACCTATAACTATACTTCCACACCATTCATCTTATACTCTCCAACCAAGCAGATGTCTCTCATAATCAACTCCAGTACAATACATTATTACTCTCTCTTGAGTTACTGATATCAAACACCATTCATTTTGAACATCAAAGTTTGTCCATTCGTGATTCTGGTTTTATCTATGATAGGATCTGTTCTCAACAAGTTCTATAGAAACCCGTGATTTCCTTGCTCTAGCCATGTTCATACGTAGTAAATCAAGCCTCTAGTTTCACTTTCATATTGCAACTCCATTTTGTAATGAAGGTAAGAATAATGTTATTTGGAAAAAATTCTTAGGACTTTAAATATAAGTTAGATTTAATCTGCCAATCATATTGTTACAATTAAATATGCATATTATTATAATAAAAATGATAATAAGTGCATAAAAATGCACTTATTAACATAGCTCTAACAGGTTGCATATGCAACAACAAGTCTGTCGAAATGAGAATAAGGAATTTCTTTTCCATTACTATGATTTTATATCTATTCTCAAAATTTCAAGTCTTTCAATATCAAACATAGTTTTATTTTTCTTTTATCTTTGATTGATTCAGCATCTTAACTTAATGCAAAAAATATATATTCTTAGTTCATATTGAACATAATCAGGATCGTTTCATGTTTAAGAAAGATAACATCAGATTTATGTTGAACATATTAAATGTCTAATACATCCTTAAAATAAATATTCAAGTAGAAGATAAATTTTCTGACTTACGAAACAATTATATGAAACAAAAGTACTAAAATATAATTTTTTTCATTGAATTACAAATTCTCTAATTAATTTAAATATCATGAATTGAAATATACAATATCACATCTCAAAATAGCATGTGAAAGTGATAATAATAAAATGATGATTTTTTATCGAGAAATGTTAATATATATATGACAAATAATGAAAACAGGTGATTAATGACGAGTTTAGACATTTCTGTTGGATTAAATCTTGATCTTACTTTGTATATGTAAAGATCATACATATTATGCCTTCATTTTTTATGCAGTTTGTACAATTTTAAATCTGTTTGGTTGCAATCTTTGACACTAAGAATTAAAAATGATCCTAACGAGCATTCTGCAAAATTTCAACATTGATAATAATTATGAAACTAATTTACATTATGAAAATTGTTGAACTCGAGAAAAAATTATATTTTTTTAATGTACTTTTCAATATAGAGATAATGTATCTGATATAAGGAAGTTTTCTCAAATCACACTATACACGAGGGCTCCCGAAGTGAATGACCATGTCAATTTATAAATAGATGTATTTTTGTACAATTTTTCCAATAATGAGAAAATTTGCATTCATTGAATTTAGCAATCATTGAATTTTTCTATCACACAACTTGAAAATAATGAATTATTACAATATTACAGATATTTTTTAGCACAAAAACATGATTTTTTGTGCTAAAAAATCATTGTTTTGATATTGATGGTGTTAATTTGCTTACAAAAATTTCGAAAGAAAATATATTATAAAAATCTATTGCACTCTAAATTACTAAATTTAATCTGAAACTTATAAAGTAAATTTATTTTTTATTGATATGATAAAATCTTTTTCTTCGATGATAAGATCATATTTCAGATTAGATGAAATATTTTTCAAATATATGCTTTGATTATTAAAAAATTAAAATTTTCAATGATACATTTTTTAGTATCACAATTTATCAAAAAATTTGAATCTATGGAATATATATAAATCATTTGATAAGAAATAATTGTTGATATCTTCTATTTCATTTATGACATGTGGAATTATGAAGACATCTGTAGTTATAATGATAATTTGTAGATAAATTAGACTTTAGCAAGCCTGATGTTAATTAAAATTACATTATTTCAATTTTATATTTGAGATATTTTTAAATTATAATATTGGAAAGTTTATAATGATTGAAAAATTAAAATAATGTATTTTTATACTATATTTAGTATTTATTTTCTGTTTTCAACTGTGGAAATATTATGAAATATGTAATTATAATTATTCTTATTTTCAAATATCTTAAAATGTAGTAGGCATGATCTAAATTCAAATATAAAAATAAATGATAATAAATTGAATTTTTAGTATATTTTTCATACAAAAATATACAACAAATTTTATTTTTATTTTTATCCCATGATTCGATACGAATAAAGTATGAACTGCCGAATCGGTTTCACAAGAAATTTCCGACTGTTATTTTATACTACTGGATTTCTTAATAAACCGTTATATGAATATTACAGTTCAAAAGTAAAATGTAGATGTTATATAGAAGACTCGACAAACATTAGTAGAAAAAGAGCTTGGTTTTATTGGTTTAGGGTTTAGTATTAAGTATTTTGATCTTCAAATCAGCATAAAAGTATCTCATTTATTTCAATCTTTCATTGCAGTTATATCTTGATTTTATATATTGTTAAATCTGAAATAATTGTTAATAGCTGTTTATGGGCGGTTTTGAAAAAATAATTGCGACGACAATATTGATAATGTAAAATTTAACCACTATATTTCAAGCATTTTTGAACACGTTTGTATGCGTCACATGTTTTCAACAAGAATTGATTTGGTACTTTATCTGTCCTTACTTCGTGAACCAAACCTATGGACTAAACTAGATGCGGACAAATAGAATAATACTTTAAAAAAAATCCACAGCACCAGCATCTCACCATAATGACTCGAAGTCATTCGATCGAGAGGCTCAACAGACCCTCAGGTCCAAAGGCGACAACAAAACAGGCTGCTGCGCAAGCAAATTACACCGCGGAGCTACCCACTAGCTAAATCCCGGAGTTAACAAAGAATTTAGTTGCCAAAGATTAAGTTGATGCAAATGCATAGCTCTAATGACCCACCAACGCCTTAAAATACTGTATAGCACGTAGAGGCCCACTAACTAAATCCCTGATTAAGCAAAGAATTTAGTTGCAAATTATTAAGTTGATGCAAATGCATAGCTCTAATGACCCGCCAACGGGTTAAAATACAGCACGTAGAGGCCCACTAACTAAATCCCTGAGTTAACAAAGAATTTAGCTGCAAAAGATTAAGTTGATGCAAATGCATAGCTCTAATGACCCACCAACGGGTTAAATTACTGCACGTAGAGGCCCACTAAACAAATCCCTGAGTTAAGAAAGAATTTAGCTGCAAAAGGTTAAGTTGATGTAAATGCATTGCTCTAATGAGCCACCAAGGTGTTAAAATACAGCACGTAGATGCGTCGTCGAAATACTCCGGCCCCGTTCGGACCAGAGTCCGGCCAACCCGGTGCAAGGCGTACGTACGTACGCACCAGGAGCGCAATGCGTACGAGTATCACGTATCCATATCAGTATCCGTATGCCACATTGCCTGCCTGCCTGCCTGCATGCCTCTCAAATCCGCCAAGTCGACCGGGCACGAGAAAATTAGTGATCCATCGGGAGCTCGAGGATTATCGAAGAAGAGGAGGACGAGGCATGGCGACGTTCGCAGCGGGGAGCTCGATGTTGGCAGCCGCCTCGTGCTCGCGGCTCTGCGCGCCATCGTTGCCGAGAGCCGTTGGAGTAACCAGCAGCAGCAGCAGCAGGAGCAATGGCGCAGGCTGGAGGGCGAAATTGGGGCCGAGCTCGAGGCCGAGCGCATTCGGAGCTGGAGTCGGAAGGAGCGATGGAGGATGCGGATTTGGGTCGGCCGGGCGGGGAATCGGATTGGGATTGGGATTGGGAGTGGGATTGGTGGCGCGCAGGGCAGAAGATGGAGAAGGGGAATGCGCAGGCAGGCGAGGGAGAGTGGTGGTGGCGGAGGCGGGGAAAGGCGGGTCGGTGAATGCGGCCGAGAGGATTCTGGCGGCCTTGGGGTACATTCTGCCCTTCTTCGACGGAATTCAGTATGGGAGGTACTTCTTCATGCAGTTCCCCATCGCCGAGGGGCTGCTGCGGCCTCTGTTCCCGCTGCTGTCGGCGTACAAGGGCTTCCCGTACTCGAACTTCATCGCCTTCTTCTCGCTCTACCTTCTCGTCGTGAGGAACAGCAGCTTCAGTCGCTACGTGCGATTCAATGCCATGCAAGCCGTCGTTCTGGACGTGCTTCTGATTTTGCCAACTTTGGTGGAGCGCACTTTCGGTCCTCGCGGTGGAATCGGCCTCCAGCTCCTCATCATCTTCTACAACACGGTGTTCCTGTTTCTGGTCAGTTGCTTCTTGTTCGGCGTCTTTTCTTGCCTTCTCGGCAAAACGCCGAGACTTCCCATCGTTGCCGACGCAGCGGATCAACAAATCGAGGGTTAAGTTAATTCAGCGCTAGGCTCTGGCTCTGGCTCGGTAGTTATCTCGTTTCCCTAACGTTTGGATGGCGAGCGAGACTCAGCATTGTGTAAAGTAGGGCTTGCGGATTCTTAGGAACGCAGAGAATCTTCGGAACTTGTTTTTCCTCCATGATTCCGTTGGAAAGATCTTCTCTGCCGTGTACAGCTCTGGTGACTCATGGGGTAAGCATTGTGTCTGCAATTTATGGACCATTTAGAGTATAGCAGTGAAGAAGCGATCTTGCAGGTTGAGATTCCAATGTCTGTAGACGTTGATTATGCTGGTAAAGATTTGTTGCTTTGGGAGGTTGAATGTGTGGACACCGAATGAGTGGTGGTAGTCCATGCTTTCGTAATTCTGGTCATCACATGTACACCACCCAAAGCGTGCAAGCTAATCTTTTTGCCTTAAGTTCAAGCGAGCGAGCTCCCAGGATTGCACTTGGCAAATCTATGTTCGAGGTTTTTGTGCGGAGCTCATGGTTTCGAGCAGGAGGTGTTATGGCGTTTTTTGCAGCAAGGACAAGCCGAACAACTGTAGTTGTCAGATGATGTCGATGATGTCTCCTGCTGCTTTAGTGGTGCTTGCCATTTTTTCTGTAATCGGTAGGTGTGATCAAATGGATAGGCTGATTTGAGGAGTTTCGAGCTCTCAAGGGTAAGTGAGCGAGTGATGATCATTACCACTTAGATAGGAGGTCTTTGGAGGACATCAAGGTCCCATCACTAGAACTGTGATACAGGATGTCGTGGGCAATCTGTCAGCAGCAGCACCAATCTGACTCAAGAGTCGAAGAATGAGAACAGTGTGTGAAATAGCTGTCCATGCATGGGTAATTGGACACAACATGGGTCAGGTTCCATGCTTAGTCAGACTTCCCAGGGATCAGCCACAGCACCTTCAAGTGGGATACACGCATGATCATAAACATACTTAAAACATCACTATCCAAAGTTTGTTGCGGACAGTGACTCGGGGAAGAATTATGTGGTCTTTTGCTTCATGAAGCGCGCTTGGATTCGATCCGTCAGAACTAGAAGCTTCTACGGAAGCGATTAGGATTCGGAGACGAGCATCAGGCAGAGATGACTGAGATTTGTTCGAGTAAGTCGATCCTGCGAGAGGCATGGAGGCCACATCTCGAAGTATTCAGAGAAGGAGCATCACCAAGGGTTTTATCTTCGCTCTCAACGTGCACCCGAAGCCCTTGGGAGTCAAACCTTAAAAGTGGATATCATCAAGACAGCGCAGTCACTATCTACCGTTGGCTGCAGTGACCATGGCCCTCATTGTTGCACAGCGTTTTAACTGGCACCAGAATTTGTGGGACCAATTCATTGCACTTCCAAAGCAGGCGATTTCTTCAGAAAGTTTTCACGTTGCGTTTCATCGAAGTTTGGACAGAAGGCGACATTCTAGCAAATTCTGAGCGCAGAGGACAATTAGGTATGATGCGCAACCCACATGCTCTTTTCTCCGACTGTAGAATAGCTGACCAACGCTAGTCCGAATGTGACAGTCACACGAGGTTGGACCAAAGAAAACGAGAATACAATGAAATGGAAAAGCAAAATCGATGAGAAGAGTGTATCGATTGGTGCACGAAGAAAACCACCAGATCCCATGGCTGGACAATAGGATCACGTTTAGAAATGTATTCTGCTTACATAAAATATTAAAACGAATTTATTTAAATAGATATATCAATAAGTAAATATAACGAGCATTTTTCGATGTATCGCATTTCTTGCATACAGCACTGGGATGTGGTCTATATATATAATTCATATATATTCGAATTGCCAAATAAGAAATAAATTACTAATTTACAACAATATTGATGCGACATCTCCCGTCCAGTGAAAAGCTTTAACTTTTTTTTTCAAATTTTTGTTTCTAACATCAACATATATTCTAACTTATAATTCGCACCACTATTTTGATACTTTTCTAGAGAGCATAAGAAACACTTTTTCAATACCGGCGCTTGACCTGGATTTCAATCCCAAGGCTTGACGCGAAAGCTAGAAGCAAAGAGACATCGAGCTCAAAAGCTGAGGAGTAGAGTAGCGAGAGGCTGTGTATGGAAACGGAATTACTGGTTTACGATATTAGAGCAGGATTTACGGAGAGAACACTTCGATTTCAGGGGCATTGCAAAAATCCCTCTGATCGCTCAAAGAGATAGGGAGAGGTGCAGTTGTGAGCACACGTCGACCATTTCGAGGTCGGCAACTTTGGCGATATCAAATCTGCCATCGTGCAGGAGACTGACTGTCGCAGCAGCATCGCTCCGTTTCGTTTGTCGTTTTGTCTCGAACTGAAAATTTGTTCGCTGTACAAATCTGTAGCCTGTTCTGTCAAACGAACCTGACACTGTTTGCACGATGTCGTGCATGCGGTCAGAACAGGGCCAGATTTCATGCCATTGCAGCCCTTACCCTCGGCAGAGAGAAACGCAATGCAATGTGTACTCTAGGGCCAAGGACCAGTACGTAAGCACAAAGGGATACAGGTACGCGTTGAAGTCCTTAGTCGCCACCGATGGGGTGGGTGGCTGGTTAGTACCCCTTGACCCAGTACGCATGAAAGAAGCCACGAGAGAGAGAGAGAGAGAGAGAGAGAGAGAGAGAGAGAGAGAACTTAGCATGATCATTTACTTCATTAACTTGCACAAGGAAAACGCGACCGAGTTAGAATTCATGCCACTCGATCACGATCCTCACTCAGATTTCCCTCCGGACCCATTCATATCCGCAAGAAAATTATGGATGTGAGTTTGGCCACGAAAAAGCGACATGCAACATGGAGTAAGATTCATCGCTGTTGCGAATCTTACCTTTCTGATCATCAGTTGGGAGGCACTGTTCGTGAGCAATGCGTAATGGATCAGAGAGGAAGGAAGGAAGGAAGCTCTGAAGCCATTCAGTGGCGGTGCATTGTTTATTTTGCAATCGACGAGAAATGTGTTGAGCGAAAATGAATTTCCGGGATCGGAGCTGCCGCAGCTGGAGCTGGAGCTGGAGCTGGGGCGATCGGGCTGGAACAGCAGAATTGCTACAGGGCAGATAGGGAGGGGAGAGAAGATTGATCCGATCGGAAGGAGATGACGAAGTGAGCAGTGTGGGAGGAGAATGGTTGACCGGGATGGTGTGATTGATGTGCGCTCAGAACTACTGATCGAAGTGTTCGTTTCAGGTGAAGCCGTGGTCCAAGCCGTCATGCAAACGACTCGAATTCCGTATCATACAAATATAGCCTGACAGGCAGAACTGGATTTCCTCGCAGTGTGCCAGCTATGGGGCCACTTTCGGCCGCCTTTCGCGTCCGAGCTGCCCCTCCATCACTGCAGGGCAGTGCATTGGCGGAGTGAAGATTGACTTCTGCATCTGCCTCTTTGTAGCACAACAGATTCAGCCCCAGCTGCGGTCCTTTTTTTAAATGCATGACTCGATCTGCAAATTGCCTCACCCTTGGGAATCTTCCGAGCCCGAGGCTGGGACCTGTTTCCCTTTGGCTCTTTATGAGACGAAAGAGTCTGCTCACGACGTACCTTTCCTCCGTACCGATCCTCTTATGGAAAGAACAGTGGGCTGCTCTTATTAAACAATCGTGGCCCTCTTATTAAACAATCACTCTCTCCCAGCTCCTCCGTAGAGTCAAGGATCCACTTCCGTTTTTGCAGTCCGTGGCTGGTCGATCTCGCCAGCTGAACATTCTGCAGGTACATTTCTGACATGCCGGTCGGTCTTTTCTGATCATTCTTGTTCGCTCTCACTCGCCCCCTGCCTCGGTTGCGTTCTCTCTGCTGCGTATCCTGTTCTCACATGGCATGTTCCATGCGATCATCGTAGGTCAGCATGAGCTGCATTCGCGCAGCTGACTGACTGACCGACTCCCTCTCTCATCCATCATCTATTATTTTTAGAAGTCAGCAGAGCCGCTGACAACCCAGCCAGCCCCATTTGTTGAATTGTCATTCATTGTGCTCCTCATTCTTCTCCTCTTTCATATCTGTTTGAGGACGCTTCGTAAGTTCAGTTCCTTCAACGAGAGTTCTGTCTGTCTGTCAATCAAGTCGACACAAGTCAGTCGTTACTGAGGTATGGAGATTTTACGCTGCACTAACTAACTAGTTCGGCAAATCGTAGCCTCCCTGCCTCGTGTCTCTGCTGACATGGTTTGAAATCAGGCCGGGGCGGTTGACAGACAGAGATAGAGTTTGGATCTGAGTTCCCCAAGCTGGTCAACCATTTTATTTCAGCTTGGTTATACTGCGTGCAGTATCAGATCTCGCTTTGTCCAGAGCTCGGAAGGAGAGTTGAGAGTTGATTTGGTGAAAAGCTCGTAAATCATTCAGTCAGTCGGTGAGAGAGCTAGTGTAGGAGGCAAGCACAATTCTGTGGCAGCATTTAGAGGTGGGAGGGATTGAGTGGATTGATGAACTTCTGAAAGTACAGGAGAAGGGAGATGGGGAAGGAAGGAGGATCATGGATTGGGGTGTTGAAGAAGGCAATCCACGCACATATACATGGAGACATAGATGAAGACATTGTGAGGTTTCCACACCTGCCACACAAGAAGGTTCAGGCAGGAGCAGCTCCGCCCACTGCGACTTCGTCTTCTGCTTCTTCTTCTTCATCGTTATCTCGGAAGAAGCCGCCGTGTTCATGCTCGTGCGGCCATGCTCACGCTGCAGTGCAGACGCTGCAGGTGGACGGAAGCGCAAGGAGTGTCGACAGCAACAGCAGTGGAGGAAGCTCTCGCAGTATTAGTCTCAGCGATTGCCGCAGCAGCAGTGGAAGCTGCAGCATGACCTGCAATTCTACCACGAACTCAAGAAGGATTTCTAGCTTAGGAGACAGGCGTCCTCCGACTGAAGAACCCATGCTTCATTTCGAGGATGAGACTGAAGTCAATGAGACTATTGCTACTCTAGTGAATTTATGGGGCCCTCACTGATTTATTCATTCATAGCTTTCGTTTTTTGTTCCCCTTAATTAAGATAATCACCTGCCCAGTTTTATGGACAGAGTCGACGGAGGAGAAGAAGAAGAAGAAGAAGAGAGATGTAATTTCATTTATGTATGCTCGCAGGAGCCGGAAACCATGAGTAATTTTCTGTGGAGGAATCGGGAGAAATCGGTGTCTGGTTATAGTTAGTTGGTGAGATGGAGAGGTGAATGAGAAGGTGGACATGCCGCTCTCGTGAAAGTTTGAGGGATAGAGCAGAGGGACCTTTCAGGCTTCTTCGTCTGTCCACCTTGAACTCATTCAGTGATGTGAGTTTATTCAAGTAATAAAAATTGTACGTCCACAGAGACTCCGAAAAGCCTTCGTCCGTGGGTACGATTCTTTGGTCCAGGACAAGCAATTCAGCATATCGTCAGTGCACTTGCAAACACACACTGAGTGAGTCGATGATGGGACTTGTCCTGCATCTCACTTTCTCTTTCCCTTGCCTCCCTTCAGCATGCAAGCATCTTCATCTCGCTCCAGCCACAATTGCTTCTGGCTCAAACCCAAGCTGCTTTGAACTCTAGCCGAAGACGAAAGCCAGGTACGTGGTGGAATGCAGAACTGTTGCCAATCCATGTATCTCTAAGTGGGAAAACCTTAAGGCACTGATTGCATTCGTCCAAAGCTTAGACAGCAGCGACGAAGCCTACAGAAGTGGTCTGATCTCAATTGTTCTGCTTACTAAACAGTATGTGCAGATAATCCTTTAAGAAACAGTATGTGCAGATAATCCTTTAAGTTTTCTTCATGTTTGACCGCAGAAGAGTCTGTGACCATCGACACTGAAAAGAAAGCCGGTTAGTAAGCGAAGGTTTGCGTCACCAATGGCATGCGAAAGTGGAGAGCGAGACGAGTTTGAACGTATGTGAACACACAAACTGATGTATGGTTGTCGTGCTTTATGATATCTCCAATCCCATGTAGGGATTATGTTAACAAAGATCGTCCAAAATTAATCGAAGTTAAATTATCATACACTGCCCATGGGGACAGGAGGAGGATTATCCTCCAGGACTTCAGGACGCGGAATAGCCCCGTGAATCAGTCGATCCTACATGTCTCTTTAGTGTACAAGACAAAGATCTGTTTCTTTTACGAGATCTTCTGACCGCTTTCTATCAAATCTAATCTCTCGACGCTGGGATGGTCTCATCAATTTTATCGATTTCCTCACCCTCCTCTAGCGCTTCCTGGTATCTATCGTCATCTGGGAGAGCACAAATAGTCACTCCTCGTTCGTCTTGACCCTGTTCCAAGCGGTTATCGTTCACACTTCTTCTGCGCCACTTCAATTTCGAAACAGCCATACTTGGTTGGGGCGGTTTGCTGACAGATGCTTGCGGGAGATTGTTAGACATGGAGCTGTCAGCTGTTTCACGAACGGTGACGGTAAGGCCCTCGGATTCGAAAGCATCAGAAGAGTCTGAACCATTGCTGACTTGAGGATCTCTGTCTAGTATCAAGCCGTTCGGAGCAGCGATGGTAATACTAGAGGCTGAAAGAGAGTCTCCTTTCTCGATGGTGATCGAGCTTTTGCTGGACGAGTTCGGAGAGTTGACAGTGGATAAAAGAATGGGCATCTCTTCGTCCGTCGATTGACCGACAGCTCTGGACTTGTCCCTCAGTATGGACGCGGAGTTCAGACTCCTTCCGCCTTGCCAGGTCGTTTCCATTGCCTCCATTTCGTCATCATATTCTACTTGCGCTGAAGATGAGCTCGGTCTTGAATTCCATGTCTCCCGTACCTTAGCCTGCAAAAGCAAAACAACAATTATTTCCCAACTTCAATCCATCGAGCACACAAAATGCCCGAGCCCGATAATCATCTAGACGACTCAAACCAGTCGCTCTTTTGACGTGAATCTGGACTGTCAAGGAGGCCTTCGTTACAACCACCTACACTCCCCTAGCCAAGAAAGCTAGGGGAGTGTAGGTGGTTGTAGGCTCCTACTTTAATGCAAAGAAGGCAATTAGCTCTTGATGCAGCTACAGCGTCTTACTTCAGCTCACCTGAAATCGTACAACGTAGTCATTCTCGACATTTCCTTTCTTCTCAAGGGCCTCTTGTGCTCTTAGTTCCATGGATTCTCGCATCAAACGCCTCAAAAAAGAAACGTCGTCTGATCTCACACCCAGACCTCTAAGAAGAATAGAACCGAGCTGCAGACTAGTCTGCACAAAAAGTTCCGAAGCACAGTTTCAAAAGGTCAGATTTGACGCCAAAGCAAGTACAAGAAGAGGGAAGTCACGAGCAGTCTACACCACGATCTACTATACAGGTAACAACCGCTTTGTCGAATTCTATATGAATTCCGCCCTTTCGTCAAGTTGCTAGCATACTTTCAGGATCGTCATGTGAGAGTTTTGAATCGAATTACCTCGGTGTTTTCCAGTATAGCATCTGTTGCTCCAACATTTTTTAATTCGAGAAGGTGCTCTAAGTCTTGAGCTCTGCCGTAAATCGGGATCTGTAACCAAGTTTGCGAGAGAGGATTTGTTAACTTCAGAGCTCAGCAAAGATGTTCACCAGATATTCGACACAAAGATATCTTCAGGATCCAATAACTTACCCCAGGATATGCCGCCCTTAACCTCTCCACAGCTTGTACTGATTTTTGGCGTCCTGTATACATCACCATGACTCCTTTGGGTGTAGAAATCCCAGCAGTTTGTAAAACCATTGGTCTAGATCCGTCTCCATATAGAACAGGAAAGCCAAGCTTGCGAGCAGCCTGGAGCCAAAAAATACACACGATAAATGGCTAAGAAACGACTTCGCAAAGACGAATAAGTTGATTACACTCAAGACGATGAGACGGCACGTGTGATTTATAAATTAGCTAAGTTACTTCTTATAGGATATGTCTGGCTGATATTGAATGGAGGACGATGAACAAGTGGAAAAGGATCCACGTGATGACTGGGCCCAGTAAGGTGCCAACTGGGAGGTCCAGAGCCTACCTTCACTCGCCCCGGATCCAAATCAAAGGCAACGTATGGCCACCCGGCTGCATCTCCTCCGAGGCCTGAAGCTAGAGGTGTGGATAGGAAATTGGCAAGCACCTGTCAAAAGGAGGAGAACAAGAGAGATCTTTCAAATGTTGAACTTGCACGTGGAAAGTACAGAGAAGATCAGCAGTATACCTCATTTTAAGCGACGAGTATCATATGCACTACTCTTTCCACATTCATGGTTTGATTAATGTGCTCATATCAACTAGCAATATGAGAGACCAACCTGGCCCATTTGCCCGAACCCCAGTATAACTACTGGTTCACTCGCCTCAAAGGTCACAACTTCCATCTTCTGTTACAGAGAACCAACGTCACAATTTATGAGAACAACATATGGATCACTTAGCGGTAAGCTTCGTCGCGTCACTGCTAGGTTGCAGGAGACGGTCGAGATAATCTAGCACAAAACTCATGGCATCCTACATAATGGCAGTCAGGCTATGGCCACTCACATCATCTTCATCTTTGGGTTCAGACTTCGATTCGATGTATTCTGCTGCAGTTCGACCAACCTCATTCAGCAATGGAGTCAGAGCCATTGACAGCACAACGACAATGATAAGAAGGCGATTCAGCTCCAACGGTAAAACTCCGAGTCTGAATGATGCAGGAGGGGTTAGCCAAGATTCCTTCTTTATCCATAGTGTAAGATTTAGGAGGTCAAGGGAGCATGACTGGAGAAAAGAACCCTTCGAATAACCTAACAAGAACTGATGATAATCCACTTACAGCGAGAAGCCTAGTGAGTAATTTAAAACAGTCGGTTGGTTAATATCCTTACCGATTTGCGAGAGAAAACACGACAAAGGCAAATTCTCCTCCTTGTGAAAGCAATAATCCCGTCCTTACGCTCTCCGCAAGAGTAAGTCCCACTCGGGGCCCAATAGCTGTGATAATTGCCGTCTTGATGGCGATCAGACCTCCCAAGAGAGCTAGCACATTGGGCCACTCCCGAAACAGAAGCTGCGAAAATTTGAAGTAAATCATGATTGTTACTACCAAAAGCAATCCCCAAATTCTTCTTTCTAAATCAATCACGGAGCTTAAACCTCCGATCTGCTGCCAGTTTTACCTGAAGATCGATGGACGTCCCAGTTGTCACGAAAAAGAGACCGAGGAGAAGGCCCCTGAATGGTCTTATGTCAGCTTCCACTTGCGTTCTGTAATTTGTCTCAGCAAGTAATGCTCCGGCAAGAAATGCTCCTAGCTGGAAACAAGTTGCAGAAGTAAGAAGCTTCAGTTGTGGTCCATGGCAGATAAATGAAATGTAACTTTCTTAAAAGTTATGTTAGTTCAGTGGAGCTACTCAAAATGATGAATCCAACATAAGAATGAGAAGGGTTGAAAACGTACTGTATCACTGAAGCCAAGCTTTTGGGTAACAAGAGAAGTCCCGGTAACTGTTAGGAGGCAAAGGGCAACAAACGCCTCAGAACTCCTTGAGTCTGCAACAACCTGTTCGCAACAAGGCGGTGTGCTCAGTACGAGACTTGAATTTCATCTCAGCTGAGTGTAAGAGAGAAGTATCTTGCGGTCATGGTCTTTTACAGCAGAATATCATGACTTTTGGAAAGACAACATACCTCGAATATCCTTCGTAAGAAGAACCTACCACCGAAAGATAGTATTCCAAGGCCAAGAAGAGCTTTCAAGCTTTCAGCAGCTAATTTTGGCCACAAGCTCTCTTGTCCGAGATTCTACAACAAAAGAGCATTTTACAGCTTCAGCTTCATCTCAATCTAAAAATTGATTCAAAGAACGAAAAGGTCATGAAAGACATAGGTACTCACCCCACTTTCTAAAATGGGAAGGATGACGAGCAGTGGCACCACAGCAATGTCCTGAGCAAGAAAACCCAATAGTCAGCATAAAGAGGTCTTTTCCTGGTCATATATGAAGCACTGGACAGAAACATCTCAGAACTCCTAGATTCTGCAACAACCTGTTCTCACCAAGGCGGTGTGCTCAGTAAGAGACTTAAATTTCATCTCAGCTGAGTGTAAGAGAGAAGTATCTCACGGTCATGGTCTTTTACAAAATGAAATAATGACTTTTGGAAAGAGACCCTAGACCCCAAATCAACCTTGGACTTATGTCAAACAAAAACTTATGCAACATCAAGGATCAAAATTTCAAGTTAATATGAATTTTGTACATGATGTCGATACATTTCAAGAGAATGAGAGCCTCATAATTTTTTGGATCACAATCAATTGCAGAGATAACAGCTATGGGAAGTCAGATTCAGAAAGTCACACGTATTACTCCACTTTGTAGAACTAATGAAGAGGTAAAAAAGTGGTCAGAGCGAACCTGAAGAAGTAGTATACCAAGTGTTGCTGAACCAAAGCGGGTTGGAAGCTCACCCTTTTCTGCGAGAAGCTGCACAAAGGTCATATTCCCGAAAAATTAGTATTTCACAAGGAGCATCTCACATATAGACATACTTTTTTCATTTTCATCACTAAGGCAATGAAAACAGGGAGATGAGCAATACATATTTCGAGCATAAAAAAACACACCTGGAGAACAAAGGCGGAAGAAGACAAAGAGAGCCCTGCTCCGATAACAACAGCTTCATCGACACTCCTGATGTTTACCTGAATTTTTGTTAAACAAGAATCAGATCATAACCGTCAGTGAACATGGATTGGGCTTCAGTGACTGGACTTCAGATGGATTGGACTCAAGAGACCACTGTTATGCTGATGAAGAACTAACTGCCTAGTTCTATGGTGCGTTTGCTGATCTAAGAGAAAAGTTCATCGAAGGAAAATTCTTCTCTAAAGCCTCTTGTTTTAATGTTGCTTTTGTTTGGATGTGTGCAAATTAGACAATTCCTACCGCAACATTCATAATACATCCTATTTAAACCCAAAGTCAAGCAAGCGTTTTTTCCTTCGCGATAATAAATGCTTCTTTTATGAAATACTCTTTGTCTCTTTAACTATCTGATAACTTATGCAAACTTATCACACCTTCACATCAATGATCCACAATTAGGGTACACCTACAGGAGTACTCGATCTATACTATTCTATGCGACAAGTACTCGATCTTAAACTGCTTGACATACGCCGGATACTTGGTAACGAAATCTTCAATGTCGATGAAATTCGCTTACCAGCGCAGGTCGGGCGTGAAAGAAAATTTCCAGAAGCTGTGTGCCTATTGCCCCATTTGGTGGGAGCTCAAAAGCTGTGAAAGCCAAGGTAGAAAAGAAGACCTGTAAAAGAACAGTTGCGCTCCACATGAAGAACAAGTGATAGACTATATAGATGGATTGCAAGGGCTATCTTGTGAAATGACAATCATGTCAAGTAAAAGAAGAAATTGCAACCTAACGTAGTCGTCATTTTCTGATCATAAATTTATCAAACATCTGAATCTCCAAAGAACATCATGGAAAGCTGGAATCAAACCTGGGCCAATCCAATACCGAAGGCAAACTTTGCCAACGCTTTCAAGCGAGCGAGGGAAAGCTCCAGTCCCATCTCAAACAGCTGATACACCTCAAAGAAATTAGGTTTTTCAATAGATTTCTTCCTTTGCATTCGTTCAGGCATTTTTACAGTGAAAACTTTTCATTTGATCTCATCTGAAAAAACATCATACAGATTGAACAGTTATCAAACGACATTCATGCGAAGAAAGGCAAGAATTGTACCAAGAAAAGGATTCCCAACTCTGATAATGCCTTAACGTCTGTGACATTTCGAATCAAACCAAGTTGATTTAGAATGACGCCAGACAGTAAAAATCCCAAGATCTGAAAAGAACACACAGTTGTCAGTGAGAAAGAGTTCGAACCTGGAGATCAAATATGTAAATGTTCCGTTACATTGCCACAATTTGGCCTCGGTAGGAATGTCAGTAATATATCCCAAGATGTATTGTTGATATATTTAAAGTGAAAACCCTCTTACATGTAAATGATGCGCTACTCACACAAATTACAGCCAATCCTCCAAACAAAATAAAACTTAAGAAGGTTCAGTTTCATAATTGTGTGGTGCAAGGGCCCAAGAAAACCTACCGGACTTTGTTTGATGGCCTTAAATGCAGGGACAATTAGAACGGTTGCTGCGAGGAAAGTCAATGTATCCAGTCCTAAGTTACCGATGACATCCATTCCTCCAGCTAGCTCCACCTGTGCCTTCACTATCACCGACCGGCTGCCAGTCCTATGAAGTGTCCAATTGGATTCGTGCTTGGATAATCTCCTATTTAATATCGCACAAGACAAATGATTGGAAGGCCGTGTGATCCTACTAAGCTGCCCTTGAAGTGGCGAAAATGGTACGGAATTGCCTATTCTGTTCCTGCAAATTTGAATCTTTGAGCTGGCATCGTAATGTCTGTAAGTGATCATATCCATGGAGATGCGTAGCTTTATCTTCTTTTCCCCGGAAATCCCACGGTGAATTTTAGGTCCTCTGTGCTTGTCCTGTGTTCCATAATCACGACATTACATATCAGGTTTTGAATCTTGTCAGTAGCAGGAGATTGCTAATTCAAAAAACCTATGGTATAGAAGATGATCTTTAATACTGTTACTGTTTGTGTCAAATGAGCTATTTGATTTACACAAGATAAACGCCAGTCGTGAAGGATTCAATTTCTAGATGATGGTGATCGATTTCTTTATCATCTAAAGCATGTCCATTGTTTGAAATTCCACTCAGCAAAGTACATTGAAATAAAATATTTTTGAATATCCAGATTGCTCCATTTCTCAAGAATCGAAGACATCTCATCGACATCGGCAGAACCATCAGCGGCATTGATCGTTTCCTCCTCCAAAGAAATTTGTTGCATGAAGGTTTCACACAAATAGAAGGAGATGCTAGCATACGTTTGCAAAAGTTTTTAGCTCTGTACCAGATTCGCAAGAAGTTCAGAATTTTACCAGAAAAAAATATTGAGAAGGCGAGCCATCATTCTTGTTCAACTGGTGAGAGTAAACAGGAGACCCGAAGAGATAAATAGATCCTGCCATCCTGAAATTTCCTTCTGGTTCCCCACCAGTGCCCGAGACCAGAGAGATCTATCTATATGACCGATTGCATAAATCTTTCTGGCCCGTTTGAATTCCTCGGTACTCCCTGATATGGACAAGACAGTTGCTCCTTGAACTGCAAATCAAGACGTCTGGGCAATATGAAGTGAAGAAATTGACCGTCGAAGTCAATCTCCACCATCTACAAGTAGGACGATTTTCACAGAGCTTAGAATCAACACAACTTTCCTACTTTGGTTCCAGGCCAAGTATGAGATTCCTTCGATCGTCCATTCAGCCAACTACAGTACACTCAAGACCAGTGTATATCATCGCAGGATGACTGACGCGCTCTACCATTTCTCTTCACTTTCAACGCAATCACCATTTTTTTCTTCCTTGCGTTCCAGTGAGCTCTCGGATGTTCAGAATTCCCCCACCGTCGGGAAGCTCCAAATTGACAGACTCTGAAACCTGACAACTTTGAGTCTCTGGTGTCTTTTCCCCGAAATTCGACAATTCCGATTATCTGCTTCCCACGGCAAATTCTCCTCAAGTCCACTAGCTGGAGCTGCCTGTCCTGCACCTACCTACTCGACATATACTATACCCCGTCGCTCCCAAATGCCAAGGTGAGCAGCCAAGCGCGAATTTGTCTCTGTACAATTAGACGCATAAAATCAAATTGGGTCGCAGTTCTCGATCAGTGACACCGAACAGCTTTTCCACTCGAGTGAATGGATCGCAGGATGAAATTTTCTCTCGTCGCTTTTGTCACCGAATTCTCCCTTTAGTGAGTTTCGCGCTTCGGCCTCTCACTGGAAAAGTCACCGCCACTTTTTCTTCGCAGTGAAGCAGAGCCCGTGAACCAATCAATTAGACGAGAGCTCAATCGCTTTCGCGCTCGGTCGGAGAAGAAGAAGAAAGAATTGCGCAGAATCCGGTTCTCTGTCCATTCGAGGCGAGGGGAAGCGAAGTGCAACAAATATTATTCTCCCCCACAAGGTTCAGGAAAGTAACTTCGTCCCCCTCTCGTCTTCTCTACAATCGTGTGACCGTTTTCACACCGGCGCGTAGCGCGGGGTTGGGAAAGATAGAGCGTTTGCGCCCATAGTCAGCCTCTCTCTCCCAAGGACAACAACGAACGGCGAATACGGTCATCATCCAACGGGGCGGAAGAAGAATGTGCGACGTCAGATCAGCCATCTCATCTCAGCCATCTGACTACGAAAGACAAACCGCTGAAGTTTGATCTGAGTAACTTACGGATTTTCCCAGGATTTACCTGCAGTAGCCAGTAACCCCGTTGAGCCTTTGGAATGGGACCGAGGACACTACGTGTTCTGGCTGCAGGAGTTCCAAGTTGACTGGCGTTCAAGGGCATCCACTGGTTTTCCACCGTTGTAGGGGTCGCCCGTCGCCGGCTAATCTGCAGGGGAAGGAAATGAGTGGAGGAGGAAGACACGCTCCTTCCCAGACTCGTGGGGCGAGTAAATTTGAGATCGACGACTCCAGCGCGATCCCAATTGTTTTCCCTTTCCGATGTCGTTGATTTTTCCCCTTCTCCTTCAGTAAGCGTATCTTCTACAAGATAAGGCTGGACTTTAACACGTGGCATTATTCCACCCTGCGGACTGGAACTACGTGGCATCATGACATCAAGACGTACAATACCATAGAAATATTTCAGTACAGAAATAATTAGTCCGCCACGGAGTCGAAAGAAAAATGTCTTGATGATATTGTCACAATTCAAGTTGAATATTATTCTATTCGTCTATAATAAAAATACTAAAATTAAAATAATTTAATGATGAAAAGAATACCTATATTGTGAGAAAGGTGAATATATATTACATATAGAAATGATTACATTTTCTGTCAACGAATGATGATTTTTTAATTAATAGAATTTTATTTATTTTCTATTTTTTAAGATAAAAATATATATAATAGAAATTAAAATTTTGATAAAATATATTAAAAGAAAGAAATATCTTTTGATCTGATTTGACACATTAAAATCTATGAAATTAAATTCTGCATATGTGGATATTAAAAGTTTAGAATAAAATATCCACATATGCAGAAGTTATGCCTTGATATGTATTTATCATTAATTCATATAATGAAATATAATCTACCAATATGACATTGGTCCATCTAGCCTTTCAAATGTGTGCTTATTATTATGTTCGGATGATGATATATATTAGTGAACATCAATATTACAACATCTCATTTTATCATTTGATATTTCAAATTAATCTAAATGTTGAATCCAAAAAAAGTAATACTTCTACTTGTTCAATTAAATTTATGAAGTTTAATACAAATTTTAAATTGATGAAAAAAATTATTATTAGTAATTAAAAAATGTATAGTACCAATTAAATTTATGAAGTGAAAAAAAAATCTAGTAGGTTTCACAATTGTGAATTAAATCTAGTTTTAAGATTTAAATAAGACTAAAAAAATTTATGATGTTCATACACATGTTTCAAAAATCATCTTTATATAATTATAATTTACAAATCAAGTATTTCAAAAATTTTATATTATTTTAATCTATCACGTACGTTGAACAATATTTCTACGATTATCATATATGATATATACTAATAGATTATTGTGTGCTTTCATGTACGTTTATGAGATCGAACATGTGTTTTTCCACCAACATAGTCTGATTCAAATGTTTTCCAGAAAAATGCATGATTATAGACAGAATGCCATCCATATCAGCATGAAAATTTGTCTTTATATGATCTTTGTCATTTGCATCTTCATGATTAATTTGGTGTTATGCTATCAAAAATCAAATTATCATTCTTAATGTTTTTTTTGGCAATATGCTGTTTGGTATGGCAGTAGATAACGAATAGATCTTAAAACGTATATAAACAATAGTATACATTGCAATAAACTAGATCTTTTAAGTTAATGCTGATTTATACTTGGTTTGTGAGATTGAGATGAAGGTTGCAGAGGCTGTGATAATAAATACCACGTGTAAAATAGTGTCGAAGATTGATTCTAAACACTTCTTTGTGGTCTGCAATCAGAGCGGCAACAAAGAAGTTCTTAAATATGTAGATTGTCTCGCTTTTCGTCCATCTAGCTTTCCCAATTATATGGAACTAATAACGTTGATTTTAGAGGTTTGTAAAAGAATGAATGTGTAATTATCATAATTTGTGAAATGTAATTTCCATTTATCTATCATATAAAATAGCCTATTTAAGATAACGGGTGTCTGCATTATAATGCAGAAAGCATTTACTTGTGCAATCCATACGACAATGACCACTTTGTTCATAGATATTTTGTTGCAAATATAGCACACATGAAATGTTTGATCTCCATAGTATTGTAAACCTTTAAAGCATTAGGTCATTGCTACCATCATAATGTTATTGGGATTTAGCCACATGGTATTATCTTTAACCTTTCATTCTTCTATGATTTGATGAAGTTATCCATTCTATTTTCTAGAAATTTTTTTATTTTTGAGATTCCCACGTGTCTTGTGAAGGAAGGAGAAAGTGCGTGGAGCAAGACTGAAGAGATGCTGTGACTTCGAAGGTAGAAAGGTTGAATATCGGACTGTATGTGTCCGAGGGTTTTCGTATCCTCTGGCGCATGTTGTGTAATCCCAAAAACAATATTTTTCCCTTTATGTTTTAAAGCTTTTAATGATTTACCACCAAGTTTCCGTGGTGTAGTTGGTTATCACGTCAGTCTAACACACTGAAGGTCTCCAGTTCGAACCTGGACGGAAACATTTTAATTTTTGGCCTCCTCGTCTTCCAACGGCTTCCGGTCTGCTGGATTAGTGAGCTCACTTACTCAGAATACCCTCACTAACCCTGTATCATATATCTGTCCAATATTTCTCTTATTCATGGAGGTCGACTCGACCTCCATGAACTTGGTATAACAAATTAATGTGGCTTAGCTTAGTAACGACCCGAGCAATCACAGCTGGATCCAGTCGACTCCTCATCGTGCTCTCCACGCTACTCCATGAAAAGCAGGAAAGTTACAGAGCAAAAGCCAAACCCAAAAAAGAAAGAAAAGGACCAACCAGGCGGCCTAAATAAAATATGGGACTTTTCACCTCTGCAATAAATCGTTATGTAGCCAACCACATCAAAGATATCTACTTTATGCACATTCTTCATAATATCATCAATCAGAGCTCTTTTCTACTCAATGATAATGGATGCCTATAGAATTATTATACAATAATATATATATATATACCCCTATTATATCATGATAAAGTCAAACACACTCCCTAAACAACAATGTTTACAATTCTCCAGTCCTCAATGTATATCCAAAGCAAGTGAAATGAAAGTAAGAACCTGGCTTATTGCAGATCCTAGTGGTGTTAGTAATATTCACATTTCATCCAACATTACTTTTGATGACATATGTGACAAGAATGTATAAGGATTAGTAACAGCAATTCCCGCAAAAACTAGAGACTTTCTAAATGTGTAGAGATAGACATATTTAACTTCTTCTTTTTTATGTATATCACTCTCAAAATCAATGACACAAATTTAACAACAGATCAAACGCTACACACCTCTAACATCAAACATGTTGCAAAATGAAGCCAGCATGAAACCAGATCTCAATATCACTTGTAAGTGAAAAAGTTTAGAGACTATATACTCAATCAAATCCAAAACATGATGCATTCAAAATTTTAATAAAGAAACAAAAATTATATGATAAAATAAATGAAAATTTATAACCAACTTAAACTGATTTGTTTATTTTTACTTTAAAATTCCTGAAATTAAGAAAAAATTGGCTAATTTTTTCTAAAACTTTTTAAAATGAATCAGAATTGGGTTAAAATCTAAGAGTACCACAAAATTAATGATCTAGTTATTTACATGCTCATTTACAACTGTTCAACTATATCTATTTTCAAAAATCTAATTTCCAGTACTTTTAAAACAAATTGATGCAAGATAAAATTTGATAAGATTGAATGAATGAAAATAAAATAAAATTTATATTCTTTTACATGATATTTTTTTAAACCGATTTAAGTATCTTTAGATACATAATAATATAATTTGATCGAAAAGAATTCATTATAAAATTTCATATAGTAAACATCATAATTTAAGAAGAGTTCAATTTAATGTTTCAAAGGTTATATGAAATAAATGTTCTGATTTATATTTTTATTATGAATATGATTTAGATAAATAATGAAATTTAAAATAAAATAAAATAAGTTTTTAACAACTATAAGCTTCAAAATCAGTTCTTGTCTTGAACAATGTTAGATCTACAGAATGTGCAACTGATGATGCCGATGCAATGCTCTCAAACCACTTTGGATTGTATAAGAAGCCAATGGCTTACACACAAAGAGCTCTCCATTGTGATGTACTCTGTAGTATATGTCAGAAGACCAAGGTCAACCTTTTTCTCCGCGATGCATGCATCGGTTGTCGTTTCGAGTATAACAATTTGATGTTAGAAAACATTCCAAACTCGATGACTAATTACTACCTTATTCTGAATATTACAAAATGGTTGTTTTTTAGATTTTACATACTCTTGTGTGTATGATGAATGGAAAATCTTTTTCAAAAATCCACTCAATCAGTTAGAAAAATCAGATTAATACTTCAAAAAATAATTGAACGTTTTTAAGACAAATTGATCTTTCAGATTTATAAATTTTTTTAAAAAGATTATTAAATAATTATAAAATATGAAAAATAGAAAATAAATAAAAACTTATATTCTACCATAAAATGATTTTCATATATTTCTTAATTTTGCTTTTTAATTTGAAATTTGAAATTTGATCATTATTTGAAAATTTTATTTTAATACAAAATTTGACAATAATTTATTTTTAAAGTGGCCTACACACATTACGCATAATTTTTATCTCCGAAATTGAATACTAGTCATCATAACATATCATATCATTTGATGTACATTTGAAATATATAAATAAAAATGTTTCTATTTATAAGAAATTCATCTGACATGATTTCAAGAGAAATATTATATTTTTATATAACATTGAAATAATTCCATAACCATAACACATGTACAATGAAGATTTGAGGATGAATGTTTGAAAAAATTTTGTTTAGAATCATAAAATATGCAAATTGATGTGCATAAATTTTATGACTAATTTTTATACATTAATATTTATATTATTTAATTTTATTTCAACTTTTACACTTATAATTTCATCTAACTATTAGACCTATAATAAAATAATTTTCATCAATTGATAAAATCATATTTACATTGTATAAATGCTAATCTAATGAAACCAATGTAGAGCAAAATGCATAGTAAATACATTCATACACACATATACGTAATTTTTATTTAAAGTTTTTACAATTCAAAATTGATATTTGTTTATTCAGAGATTGAAAAAAACATTTTGTTTAATAAATAGAAATATTTTAGCCTCATCATGAAGTATACTTTTAATTTATCTTTTATTAATTCCAAAATTCTAAAAATTATTGTGGTTTGCTAGATAATGACATTTTAAAAATAATCTAAAATGTTGGACTTTAATACTAAATTTTTGTTTAAATTTATTACAATTTTTCTTTAGTTTCATTTTGATGAAAATGATTTTTCTTAGCTACTATTGTGAAAATTATTAAAAATTGTTATTGTACAAGTCTTTATGAATTGAACTGGAGCCAAATATCAAAATTCAACGCACAACTAAATGACCGTTCCTTTTGTTCAAGAATAATACTCAAGTTTCTCATGTTGTTTATTTGTTACGCAATCCCTTCTATGATCAACATCTCTGTCATTGTCCTAGTCTCCTCTAGTAATTGATGGAAGTAAAACTCCCAATACTCTTTCTCGCATAATGTTGAATGCACAAATGTAGTATCATATGAGTCTAAGTTCTCTTAATTTCACCAGATGGATATGAAGCTTCGACTTGTTAATTTCCTCCATCAAGCATGGGCATTGCGGAGAATCAATCTCACCTCCATCATACTACTGTTAACCTATGGGCATGAGACTCCGAGTACTGTTTCTTGCTCCTCGCCGCCGCCATTGTCTTTCTCTCCACTTAGGACAGTTGATGGATATGAGTTCTTCACTACTATTACTTACTCCTCATCTCCTCCATTTTCTTACTTTTCATTGAGGTTATTTAATGAATATGAGTCTCCAAGTACTATTTTTTCCTACTCATCGCCTCCATCATCCTACTTTTCCCCGGTAGTTGATGGATCTGACTCTCAAAGTGCTCTTTATTTCTCCTACAAGGAGCTCAGCTTGTAGGAGAAGCAAATGTAGATGATACTCCATATGTGAATTCACCGGAGTTGAATTCACATATGGAGTATCATATGAAGATCATCTACGTCAAAGTCCTTGTATTTTATAATTGATGGATATGGAGCTCGGTCTTCTTCATTTTTTCCACCAAACACTAGATACTACATGAGAATCAACCTCAACTCCAACGTCCTACTCTTCAAAGGCAGACGATGGATATGAACCTCCCATTACTCTTTCCTCCTACTCTCTGCCTCGCAAAATATTTTATTGCACAATACATCAACATTCATTACAATTAGGAAGCGGCTAATTATACCTCATTGTTTGCTAATTAGTCCTCATCCTACTATACTTTTTGTTGTGATTGATCGATGCAACGTTATAGCTTTCGTTGCGTGGGTTGTTGGTAATGCTAAAATAGGAAATTTGTTGTTTCCCCGCTACATCAAAGTCGACTCCAGGATTCAATTCTTGGAAAGATCTGTACCAAACACGCGGAATCACGTTCGCAGTACGTCACCACCTACCTTCGCATATCAAACAAAACGAATCAGCTATTACACGAACACATGATCCATAGTCTATGGGAGCTCTGACAACACTCAATTCTAGTACAAGGTCCCTAAGTTTCAAGCTAGCAGTGGATTTGAACTGACTCAATCGTTTTAACAATCTAATTTCACTTTACGATGACGTCGAGCTTGCGAAACGTGTCGGATCACATTCTTTTCATGCATTTGGTAGGTTGAACTTAATTCAGATCCACGCAGAGCTTATGCTGTTGCAAAAGTGACAATGGTCTTAAACTTTGATCTTCAATTATACTTACACACAGTTCTTTGTTGATGTTGAACTCAGCCACTAGGCAACCCGAAATGCTCGGAGTTGGTTCAACTCGACAATTGTTCATGTTTCATGAATGTTGCAAATTCAAATTCAAATCTAATCGTAGCCGTGTGAGACGTAAGCTTTTGATAATGTCATGACAATCAATTATGAAATATATTGTAGACAGAGTATACACAGTTTCTTATACAGTGGTACTGTTGTCACTGCTCTACTAGTGGCGTATGCCACGAAGGGGCTTTGACGCAGAGGGGAAAGGAAAAAACTTCATAGTTTAGAAAACAAAGTATTCACTCCATGAAAGCTCTAACTTTGCATCAATCAATCATATAAGAGAGTATAGTATGGTGAAGGATAATTAGCCAAAAATGAAAAATAACTAGCAGCTCCCTATAAATACATTCAATTTATTTTTGAAAGAATCAAAAAAGTATAATTTTATATTGAATTTTAATTTTTTGAGTTTAATCATTTATTAATCATCTTATGTTTTGAATTGTTATAACCTTCTTTAAAATTTAAAATTATTCTTCCCAAAAAAAATCTAAAATTTTGAATATCCAGTCACAAGATAAAAATTATGTTTGTTATTTTTTTTAGAACATTTGTATACAAGTATAGTTTCAATTTTAAAAAATTACTATTATTTCATTTGGAAAAAGATTTAATAATTCTTTTTACCTAAAAATCATATCACTTTTGTATGATGATTTAACAGATTGTTTGAAAAAATATATAATTGATTGCATTTTTGCAAAACTTTCATTTCAATTTCTTTCAGCTTTCAATTTTTATGAAAATATCATAAAGTGAGTATTATGCAACTTCATATAAAAATGTAATATATATTTTTTATTTGATTTAAGATTTTTGCTTTAAGGAAATCAAAAAAATCAAACATTGTTTAGTAAACATACTTTTTCTAAGGTATTAATATATTCTAATTATTTTAATAAATCTAAATTTGAATGAATATCAAATGATTTCTAATTAGATTAATAAAAATTAATAATAATTTCAAAGCATAAGTAATTCTATATCATTATTTTTTTTTAAAAAAAAATTCATATTTTTGTATATTTTTCATGTGATCGTTTTGATTAATAATCTTAATTTCTACATCATTGATTATCAATAGTTGATGGAACTTGAAGCAAATTTTTTTATGGATGTCTTCATATAATTTTTATATTTTATATTTTTATTATCTTTTCTTTTTAATATTTCTATATACAAGTAAAAATGTTAAGAAAGTTAAAAAATCTATGAAGAAAAGTAGTAATGTTTTAGTTGTATAGTGCTTTTAATTGATGTGTTACATTTCAAAGTGGAAATACTGTTTTGAAATTGTTAGATCAAGCTATTTGCTTAAAATTTATATCATATATATAGTTAAAAAATAAAAGAATTGATCCAACAAATTCTAGGGTTAAATATAAATATTATTGAATGCAATAAAAATAAAAAAACTTGAAGTTTTTGACAATTTTGAGTTTTATATCCAAAGTTAGTAATAACCAAAGAAATTATCTGTACGGCAAGTTATAAGTTTCTTTCTTCGGCTTGTTACACAAAAGATAAACATCGAAACACATTCGGTACAAAAGACTGAATTGTAATATCATTCACAGCATACTTCTTAAGATCTTGGGCGACATTAGAATGACGTTTATTTTCCAACAGCTAAAAATCTATTTAAAAATATTTCGTCACGTAAAGATTTCAGGGATTTAACGTAAGTTATCACTTCTCTTTAAGTTCTTTTGTAACATTAATACAGTAAGTGACTATTTTTCTGTGTCGAATTGAAAAGAAAACATTTATCCCGCAAATGTCAAGTTGTTTCCAAAATCAGTAGACTCACTTCGTAGAAAGAAGATAATTGGAAAACAAATGTTCACGTCATATGTGAATCTTGGACACTGTGAAGGTATGTAGACCAAAGGTATGTGAAGTACTTCGACAAGGTTTGCTTTTTCTCGCATGATTCATCAATCACAAGTCGAGTCAATCAACCGGTTATGGTCAGTTCAAGATTTAGGTACCACCTCTTGACGACAATACGTCATTTTGCCGTTGATTAATCAGCTTACTTAAAAGTTGTTGTCACGCCAAAGAAAAGTTATATTCTTACTGTACAATGACTGCAGTTAAAGTACAGGCCCCAGAAGCGTGACGACACTCCCATGACAACTTTGCCTACCAACTAAATACAGCAAGTCACACATAAGCATCCGCCGTCTCTCAGATACAGACAGAAATCCCACGGAACAAACCAGGGGAATGTGACAGGTACAAGTGTCACTCTACATGCAGCAATTCAGATCGGGACGGCACATCTCGAGTCGAGTGATAGTTAAGAACGTGTACAGTAGTATGTAGACCAATACCGAAAATTTATGTACAGGAATAATAATATATACAGCCGTACATTCACAGTTCATCTTCTCAGCCTCCTTTCTAATCTGCTCCTGGTGCATCGATGAGGCTTGGGTTTGGGTTTGCTACAGCTTTTCTTTTGCTTTGCAATGAAATTTTCTTCCAATTTGCCTAATCTCTCCGTGACGTCCTTCATGGAATTCGCTTGAAGCTGATTCCACTTCATTACTTCCAGCAAAAGGGCTCTCAACATTTTGTTCTCCTCGCTCAGCTTTGAGAGCATGGGATAAAAATCAACATCTCTCGTCGACTCAGCAGATTCGATGGACGTAGAATTGGAAGAATCATTTGGTTTCATCGTGCTGAGAGGCGGGTGACATGTTGATCCGTCATTCTCTTCGATGTCTGGACTAACAGGTGCGCCCTGACAGTCCATCTCTTCAGCCACATTCGTTCGACCCGACTGGCGATTGAAGTGGGCAGTTGGTTTCTCCGGGCATGAAATTTCCTTCAAAAAGTTTTTTATTTTCTCTTGCGCGCCAGGGCAAGATTTGAAACTGAAATCGTTCTCTTTGAATTCGACGGCGTCACTTTGCGGTCCATCTTGCTCCTCCCTGTCCACATCCATAATTTGTTCGCCCGATGCTTCTTCTACAACCGTGCTCGCATCTTTGAAATCACGAGCTTCTTGATCTGCGGTGCGATCTGTAGCATCAGTCCATCTGTCAGAAACGATTCGCATTGGGTCCGCAGAACTGCTCACAAACGATGCACGTCGCGTCTCATCATCATCCCTCCTCCTCGCGAGGGCCTCTGAGAAAACTTGAGAAATTGAAGTCATGGGCTGGCGTGTGCTATTTACTATTTCGCATTCCGATACTTCGCCGTCCTCCAGAACGTCAACAGCCCCTGGAGAAGTCTGCTCGCCAGCTACGTCATTTTCTTCGACAATAATTCCACCTTTCCCTCCCTCTGCCTCTAGTCGAGACTCGTCCTCTTCTGTCGAATCTGAGAGACTTTCTCTGTTACAGATATCGGAATTGGCAAGATCGATTTCCTCGACATCACCACATGTAACTGAAGCAGTGACCTTTTCGCCCGACTTACATCCAGCCTCCTCATCTTCAAGTTTCAATTGGTCCAGAACAATTTCCTCGACAGATTCGGTCTTTAGACTCGGAGATGAAGATGGCACTTCGCTTTCTCCGCTGTCGGTCATCACATCATCATCACTCTCCTCGCACGTCATCACAGTGTCCTCGTTCACGCTTTGGAGAGGGACATTAGGCATTACAGGTTCCATTTCCGCAATTTCTCGGCCATTCAACAAGGCGTCAACTTTATCCTGAAGCGTTACCACCTCCTTCGTGACAGCTTTCCTCCACGTCCGAACATCGGAATGTACACCCTGAAATATGCGGCACACATGTAAATACAAAAGCTCGGTAGGGTTCCTTCGCCACATTCGGGAGGATCAATCAGCGCCAAACAAGAACATGAACTCACAGCCAAGCGGAAAATTAGTAAACCATGACTCGTATTGAATTATTCACCTGAATAGAATCCAACTGTAAGAGCAGAGCCATCAGTCCCTCCGTGATTTGAAGTCGGCATTTCATGTCAGTTCTCATCCTTTGTACGTAGCTGGTGTCGGATATCCGCTCTGAAATTTCCCTCAACTTCGATCTGATTTCTGCAATCTTCCGCATATGTTGCAGCGGCTGAGATCGCCGGACCAAATATCCTCTGAAGGAAGATTGAATCAAAGCGGCGGCAGCGTGCTCACTCAAAGTCATCCTCGGTTTCTTGATTCCCTCAGGAGAAACGACTGGCACAGACTGCTGCTGCTTTGGGACCTCACTAGAGAACACCACCGGTATGGCGACGGTGGTGGAACTTCTCTCACTGTTCCCAGCACCCTGCGTTCCGCGTCGAGAAGGCGACGCGGGTGGAGAAGAAGCATAAACATCTTGGGTTCTCGAATTGCGGTGCGCTGATGAAGAGGAGGGATCTTCGACAAAAATCTCCCTCACATTGGACCCATTCGACGTCCCCAGGGGCTCTCCTTTAACACCATCGAGCTTCCTCTTCCTGGCCAAATTCACAACCTCGTCCGGATACGCAGACTCGTCACCCCAGAGGCTCGACATCCTCCGAGGAGGAAACCCTAAATTATACCCAGCAGTCCGATTCGCCCCGTAAGGATATCGGCTGAATCCATGGCTGTATGGCTCACCGTAAGCCATCCCTCCGCCCATCACTCGATCGAACCAACAGATTCCAAATCTCCGTCAAAACACCGATGAGTAAATCCAACCAACCCGACCAAATCGAGCTCGACAGCCGACGAAACTCCGTCGATCGAAGAACCGTAACACGAGATAGCTTGGCTTGGCTCTGTGCGTGTAGCTTGCGATTGCGATGATGCTTCACGATGCGAAATTTAATCGTGCAGAGATGGCAATCCTGTCGCCTCGTTCATCGTAGGGGAGGTCTATAAATTCGAAGGCTTCGCATTTCAGAACCGGCACTCCGATGAGCCCTTGGCGTCCGGAGGATTCTTTGGAAGAATCTAGAGAGAGCCTTCCGGACCTTCCATCGGAAGGCAGCAGAAGGAACGAAGTACAGCGAGTGCCGAGTAGAGAACAAGCCAAGCAGGCGGGACATCGACGAGCGCACTGTCTGGATTGCTCCATTCCCTTCGAACCGGCTTTCGCCCGCTGCCGGCACCCGCGTAGCACGCTTTCCCGGTCGGTGGACCTCGGTCGGACGATGGGAGATCGGAATCCTCGTACACTTGTCGGTCTCTTTTCGGTCGCGGGACCGCCGAGTTGTCCCGACGAAGTTCCCGCTGGTTCGAGAAGGTCCTATTAACGGACTCCTCCTGAGATCGGTTTGAGAACATTCTGGAACGTGGACCAGTACCTTCGCCTGTACCGGTCGTCTCAGGCTTTCACATCGGCGAGATTTTCCCGGTCGCTGGTTCGGTATCTTTCCAGACCCGAAGACGTCGTCTTTCACACTGTAGGTTCAGGATCAGTAGGTTCGAGTTATTTCGGTCCTAGTTGGAACACCGTCCAGCATCCAAATGGCATTTTCTTCCTCCGTACGACTTGCCTTGATGGGGCCTTCCCCTGCCCTTTACTTGGCCCGCATGAGCTTTCTATTAAATTCTTTTTTTAAGTATTTTACAGAGACCGAGAGTATTCTAGGACCAATAGGGTGGTCACATTGGCTGCGTTCGACTGGAATCTTCGTAGGTTGTCGTAATATATTAGTTCTGCTACAAGCTGCGGGGAAATTTTCAGCACCTCGTCCATTATGGAGGCCTTTAGACCCTTTGCCATGACACGTGACACCCTTGCACACGTGGACATGGAATTGCTCTTCGGGCATCATGAGTAGCACGCTGGAGGGCGAGTGCGGGAGAGAGAGAGAGATAGAATGAAATAGGATCCACGTAGACAAAGTTCTCATTATTCCTAGTACAGACTTCTTAGGAGCTTCTTTGTTCATGCGGAGTCTTTGGAAAGTGAAAAAGAATAGTTCGGGCTTCCTTCACCTTCGTCCTGATTCTCAGCTGAATGTGAGTAATGAACATATACCCCTTTGCGGAATGAATTGTACGAAGGCGTGATAGGGAGATAAGGTTAAATCGAATGTAGGTTTTCACGTTCTTGGAGATTATATTGTTCATGAAAAATGATGTATTCTTTAATTTACAATCCTCTTGGATTTTATTTTGGATTCCACTGATTTGCAGATTGAAAACTACGAAAAATAATATGGAGTGTTATTAGTTACTGTATTATCAAGAGAACTTCACGTGATTATCTTAGAGCTTTGATCCGACGTATTTGTCGGATTTCAAATTAAATTCAACGGAAATGACATACATGAGCTAATATTGACTTTTTGGAGAGTAAAAAGAAAAAAAAGAAGCCCAAGGACAAATACTAGAATTCAATATGCGTTTGAATCATATCGCTCTCTAGCAACTTGTGATGTTGGGTTCTCTTACTACGAACTGATTCATCATCTTTTTGCCCATGCCAGAAAGTAGAGTAACAATTGGTGAATAAACTGCTACAATTATGGACAATATTGGGTAATTAAAAGATAAGAGTATGTAATTTTAATAGGCATTTGGTCGTGGAGGTCTAACAATTACTTCCCAAATGTTGAAGGTCTTTCTTCCATCTAGAAGATTTAACTTGCAATACATGTGTTCCTTTACGATTTTGAGACACATTTCAACGCTTTGATTTGATGATGGATCAAACTTCTAGAAAAGTAAGTAGACGACATCTTTCGATAGTCAAGACTGAAAATATTAAAGCACCAATCTTAACATAGTATTGAGGATTCCAGTTTCTTATATGTGCTGATATCAATGCGACAATATATACAAGTTAAACAAATACCTTGAACCTCGCGACGAGTGACATCTACGTGAAGCGATCGGCTAACGTTTTAGTAAAGTTTCGTGAAGATAATGAAAAATTTGGCTTGGAGATATTGCAAGTGGTGTATATCTAAAAAAATATTTTGAGAAAGTTGCATGTTGAATATTAATTATGTCTATGAACTAAATTGATATTATCTCTGACTATAATGAAATTCTAAATTGATATCACTGATTTATAATATTGTATAGAAAAATTGTATGATTAATATTAACTTTGTGTTTATGGGTAGATAACAATACATTCTTTTCAATATCATGGTCTGAGAATAGAGTTACTATACTTCAGTTTATATATTTTTGAAAGTGGACGACTAGGGCCACACCCGTTTTTGCTATGCACACACCCGCACGTTCAAAAGCGGGCCTGGCGTAGCAAAAACGGGTGTGGCCCTAGTCGTCCCCGGAGCCAGATGGGTGGACGATGACGTCACCCCTTGTAGCAGGAGGGGGACTTGAATACGGGTCGCCGAGCTCTCATCCAAGGAAAGATTTCTAGGCCGATTTCGCATTCCCATGACATTCTCTCGGTGTTCCATCTTCGTTTCCAAACACTAATGGCCACTGACAAGCATGGGCTAGTAATTAGCGGGCGGGTGTGGCTGTAGCAAAAACGGTTGTGGCCCTCGTCGTAGCTTTTTTGAAATTATGGTGTTACAAAAATTTCTTGACCTTTGTGTGAGGTGTAACTTTTTTCTTTCAATTCAATCATTCATCCACATTCAAGTATTTTTTTTTGTCAAGAAAATTTATAAGTTAGAAGTCATTAAGATTCATTTAAATTTAGATTTTTGTATAGAACTAATTTTAAGCATATAATTAATTATAATAAAATATTACATCAGTTAATTTTCTTTGGCTAAAATTTACTTTTCTAGGATGTTGAAAATTCAAATTGTTCAAATAATTTTTCATTCAAGAAATTTTTTTCTAATCATACAATGTATCACAAACATATTTCAAATCGTTATTACCTAGAATTAAAATTCAGCTTAAAAATTTTGATTTTAAATATTTAAGATATATGTCTTATTTTAAAATTATTAATAAAAAAGTTTTTAAAAAAATTGTTTTATTTCCAAATATATAGATATCAAAATTTGCATCAATTTATGCAGTCATGTGGTTATCAGTACAGATAAAATCATTAATTTGTCATTCTGCATTTCATTTTATTCCATTCAATCAAGCCTGTAATACTAATGCAACTTCCAATTATAAAAAAAATTATTATATTAAAACCTCACAAAATTTTCAAAATACTTTGAAATAATCAAGTCATATATTTACATCATTACTCAATTATTTCTAATTTTGCGTTTCTTTGTAATTTTGATAAATTGTCTGATCATGAAATTAAATTTCCATGTAATCCTTGCTAAAAATTTAACTTTTCAGTATTTGATATCATCTAACACAAACTCAAAAGCTTAACAGATACGTAAAATGTCATATTTGACCCAATCCAAGATGAAAATAATCAAGACAATTAAGACAAAAAATTTCTAATTTCTATTTTGCAAATTTTTATTATATGAATAATGATATTAATAATATAATTAAATGAAAAATGAAATATAATAAATAAAAAAGGAATTTGAGCTTCAAAAATATAAATATTGCTAATTTCCAGTTTTGAAAATATTATTTAATATTATATTGATAATAAACGTAAATTATTTTATAAAATAATATTAATAAATTATAATTCAGTCTTGAAAATTGTTACAATTATCAAGCTAAAAAACATAACTCATAAATTACATCAACATGTACACAATCTAAATCAAATATAGAAAGAAAAATAGTCTAAAATTTATCTCATAGTATGCTTGCTTTGATATATTGTTTTCTTGGAATATATCATAATAGTCACCACGCACCTAACAAATGATGTAGTTTATACACTATTATGAAAGAGCTAACAAGTCTTCACAATTTGTAGATATGACTTGTGTGAAGATATTTCCAAGTTGGAGTAATGATAATGTAAGAAAACTGTTGTAATCATAGAGTTCATATCTACATAATTTTACACATGAAATTTTATCATGTAATGTGAATGACATTTTTTATGAGCTAAACTCCAATTAATGTATTTGTATAAATATAAATTGTATGCATAAACTTGTTAAGATTTTTTACTAAAATTAATAATCTTGAATTTATGTGATGTTTATGGTGTATTGTATAAGTAATCGCCTTTCATCAGAAGCCGTTTGAATGGATAAATAAACAAAAAAGTTAACCACATCAAGAAGAAAAGAGATCAATCAGGAATCCCGACTTTATAGCTACTTTTGTAAGTGAGTATTTCAAAAGCAAGAATCATTTAGTTTCATATATAATTCAAAGCAAATTCATATATGTACTCTTCAATCATGAAAGCAAGGTGGTATCATATTCAAAACAATTCAAAACGTATTCATGCAAAAATCATTTCAGAGTGACTTAGTGAAAAGAGTATAAATTATAAAAGTATTTAGGAGATCCTAAAATCCTCTTAAGTTACTATTTTATATGTCTTTGATTTCTTTGTTGGTCTCTATTCTATTACGAAGCTTTATTGCAACTTCCTGTTAAAATTGTCACTCTTAGACTATTTCATGCAGCATCTCGTGTTGTCTTCGTCATTATCACATGTACGAATTTTGTTATTCAAACAAGCCTATTTATGAAGGTAAATAATACAAATTCCAAGAATTATTGGACTCAATATGGAAGAATACATGGGGCTGAACAAATAATAGTTTGTAGGCTTCTGCAATTTGGCTCCTGTGGGCGCAGATTCTCTTATACTGTGTGTTAGCTTCCTTTACGAAAAGTCTAACCGCATCTGCCATCTCCAAATCATTCGTTGCACGTTATGGCTGGTCGGGACGAATGTCCATGACAGGTGAACTTGATACGACGGAAGTGCAGAAGTATCAATCTACAATGATGTAGAAAATTGTTGGAAACTTGGCAAGAAATTTACACGGAGCGATAGTTTCTTGATGTGCAAAGTTTGAACACAGTCTGCAGAAATCGCATTCAGAATGAATTTGCTGCACGCGCCATCGATGTCTTCTCGTTTTGAAAATCCATTTCTGCCCCACGTACGTCGCCATGTAACAATCGATAGAACTGGACGTGAAAGAGTTCGGTTGTCAACACCGGCGGAATGGAAGAGCTTCAGCTGCAACAGCGGAAACGAGTTTCCTCGTCGTGGAAAACTTGATAAAGCTTCCCGTCGCGTATATGCGCCAATTGCATCAGTCGCACGTACTGAGGGCACTGCATCCATTCAGGAGACAGATATTTTGCAGGTTAGCTACCTGCGACGTTCTGGGCGAATTTTTTAGCTTACATTTGTGGCTGTGATATTGACCGTCATCCAATTTGTAAATTATGGATTTCAAGCCTATGTATTCCATTTTTTTATCAGTCGGTTCAAGTGGGTAAGCTCTGTATCGCTCTTGAAATTGAAGGTTAAGGGAGTGACTTATAGACCGCCTGGAAGCGATGCTACACTTCTGGACAACGTAAGCTTCTCTCTTCCTGAGAAAAGGTATTATCTGTATGGAATTAGCCGTATCAGTCCTTCTGTTGTGGCTCACACCTCGTAATTTTTCTTCGTAAGGTTTTGTTGTGCCTGTGATTTCCTCTCTCTCGACCAGTCCTATGTCTTTTCTCCTATTTCTCGGTCTCCTGGCATCTCTTCTTCTCCTACTACTCAAGGTCATACTAGCACCACTTATCCAGGGCACGGGGTTTTTAATCTACAGGTTAAGACTGGTAATACTATTGTGTATAGGTTGTACCTCACCTGAATCATATCTTTGTTCAGAACATTTGGAGAAATTAAACCTTAGCATTATAGGTCTTTCAGTCATCTGATGAAGTGTTTTCTGTTTTGTTGTGGTGGCAGTTTAGGTCTTTTATATGGACCAAGTGGAAGTGGCAAGACAACTCTTTTGCAGGTTTCCCCCTCTACCTGAATTTTCTGTTGGAGCCTTACATACGTTCCCATGGACCAATAGCAGTATTCATGAATAAATCCTGAATTCTGAAAGCTTAGAGACACTTTTGCATGCTCCATGTACCAATTGCAGCCGTATCTTCTTAGCCCCGATTTCAGATTCAACTAATGCAGGATAGAACTGATGATCAGTATAGGGATGGATCCATGCAATGGATAGTTTCTTAGAGTTGAAGACCTCACAGGAAGTACTTTCTTTGTGTAGCCCCTCTTATATTGTACTAGTTTGTTTAGCATCAGGATTTCATGTCCATTGATTTCTAAAGTACGACGTGCCAGACCCTTAGATTTAAGATAGAGGTTTCTATTTTCTTCTCTCCAGGTGCTTGGAGGTCTTGCGACCCCAACCAATGGAACGATCTATATTGGTAACAACAGCACTGACTCTACAAAAAACCCTCACGGACCAGGATCTTTGTCAGCTCGAGTGGGAATTGTATTCCAATTTCCTGAAAGGTAACAAATGTTCGTAAGCCTTTCAGCCCCTGGTTTTATGTTGGTACTTCCTTGACTTTCAATTGACTTCGAATCTGTTTTGGAGCTGAGTTTGACTATCCAGTTTGTTTGTCTTACAAAATTCTTGCGAATGGCTTGATTCTAGAGTAGTTCGAAAGTTACGTACTTTAATGCCAACCTTTGCCTTCAAGCAGGTTTTTCTTGACGGATACTATAGTGGAGGAGCTTATATTTGGATGGTCACGGCAAACGCAAGACCCGGTTCTGAGACAAACACAGACTCTAAAGTTACAGTCAGCTGTTTACGCTGTATGTTCTACTTTCACTCTGTCTTGGGAGGTCAAACTATTTCCGCACTGTTTGGACTAGCTCTTGCTCAGATGAAATTGCTGTCGCGCAAACGAATAACGAGGGAATTTTTATATAAATATAAGAATCCTTTCACCACGATTCCTTAAAAAAAGTTTTGCCATATCTATTCATGACACATTCAAATAACCCAAAAATTTTAGGGTTATTCAAATAAACTAGTCTCAAAAGTTTGACATAGGGTCGTGATGAAGTTCTGGATACGATTTCTGTGATTAATTCAAGTATTTTCTGGCTCTTAAAAGATGTCTTGCTTTTAGTTTTGATGAGATTAACACCATATGATCTGCAGGTTGGACTTTCAGGCTTACCTTTGGACATGAACCCACGCAATCTCAGTGATGGTTATAAACGGCGTCTTGCTCTCGCTGTTCAGCTGGTATAAACATCGTACATGAATGATACCATACTGCATGAACCTTTTTCGTTTCAAATATACAGATGTTAGTGTTTTTTCTACGTCATGTCATCGGTTTCTTCATAACAGTGGCGTGCTTTTTATTTTGCAGGTGCGGATGCCAGAAATCATGTTACTCGATGAACCTCTTGCTGGATTAGGTGTGGAACTGTGTCTCGTTTGAATACTCCTCCACGTTCCTCGTTCGTGTTTACGTTTCTGTTCCTCATTCGCTGGCTTTGACAAGCATTTTGGAAACTTTGAACGTTCATGGTCAAGGCTCAAGATTTACGAGTTGTGAAGACGATGAAGGAGCTAAGAACCAAAAAAAAAACATGATGAAGTCATCGTAGGGTTCAGAGTATCGTGAGCTAAGATTCTTAAGAAGCTTGGCAATCTGTTCTAAAATTCTTTTGACCAGAAGAAGCTTTCTAAGCGATGGTATTGAATTTTGAAAAACTTTGATGCTTGTACCTTGGCTTAGAGAATCGTGTGGAGAGCAGGGTACATAGCTTGCTACCTCTGGTTACGAAGTATATAGGACGCATTTGCAAAGAAAGCAAGAACTCATATCTTACTCCTTTTGTGCAGATTGGAGGGCCAGGGCGGATGTTGTTAAGCTTCTGAGTGCTCTGAAGAAGGAGAAGACTATAATTGTGGTCAGTCATGATCTCAGGTAAGTACATGTACGTCAAGATGCTATAGTTTCTTCCTGACATGCGAAGTCTGTAGTACTATACATAAATTCTTGAGTATGCTCTAGGATTCGATCTTCTCTAATGCTTTATCCCTGTTCTTGCCCAACCAACAACAGGGAACTATCTCCCATTGTAGATAGAGCGTGGCAGATGGAGATGGGGGGCGTTTTGACACAGCAGCCTTGGACTTCTACCGTGACGAAGTAAATACTAAAAAATTTGCAAATTCCGAACATAAGAAAGAAACTAGCGCATTGCTAGCATTGTTTACAATTAAACAGATGGCTGATACACATTTTGTGATTTGTCGGACTTTTCTGTCAGGGAGGTTGTATTATCTGTAATTAAGATGAGATTAACAGCAGAATTTTGTAATAGTCACATTCTTGAATAGGCTTCCACATTGAAGTAGATAAATAAGTTTCAAGTAAGCAAAGTCTTCTTCAGAAGTAAAAGGTATGTTTTTTCGTGTTTGTTTCGTTTTTTTGGCAAGGCTTTTGCAATGATTCTGTCGCGCTCTGGTCTTTCTATGGGTGTGTGTATGCCAAGAAATGCGGACATGAATATATGAATTACCTATCATCGTCTACTATACCAACCAAGTACATGGCGCACATTCGGGACATCGAGTAGAAAGACCCGAGTGGAGATACATCACATCCCATTGTGTCCGATCGTCTGAACACAACAATGGGAGGCCTTGTGCTCAGATGAATCATTCATGGCGCTCAGGAAAACAAAGACTATCTACGCGACTCGAATCGAATTCCAGTGCCACCAGTGTGTTGGCGACAGTTGAGAGCATGGATGGATTTGTGTATCTGAAGATTATGTTTTATAAACTGTGATGGTAAAGACATTCAATCAAGGACTGCAATTTCATTTCAATCGAAATTTCGATGACAATTCCATTAGCACTTGAAAGGTAGAAAGTGAGGACATTCCATATGAAAGTGTTCTGGTGAATACTTTCATATGGAATTTCCACCAAATCAAATCCATCGAATCCATCGAATTCATGGAGGTTTCGCGGAGATTCTCCACACAATACTTCCTTATGAAATCTTCAAGCTTCAGAAATAGGACCCCTAGAGAAGGAAGAATGATTGAAACCCGCGTGACCACTTTATGATAGCTGTAACAACAAGAAGGTTTATGAGCTTGACGAAGAACCAAAACTCGTGGGATCTTAAAAACACTAGACAGTGATAATTTATACGCGTTCCATACAAGCTTCTGAAATAGGACCCTTTTGCAGCTGTGTATTTCATGGAAAAAGATGTACCAAGTAATATAGTAGAGTCTTGTAGGCTGAGTTCAAACGGTAGTATGTCCCCAATTACATCATAGTAGAATATATATATATCCATAAACATTCATCCACTTTTTAATTATAATTTAATGCTTCCAATCTCCAAAACTGTTTTTTTTGGAGAAAATTATATTAAAAAAAAAGAGTTAATCCAATAATAATCACCTTAAGCTTGAATGCATTTCACGTTAACACCTTCATCTTCGCTCTTCATTAATATACACACTCCTCAACAACCATATCAAACCTATCATCAATCAAACTTGCTAAAATACCTTCAACTTCAAAAACTCATAAATCCCATGATATTCCCCTATGTGTTTGCAGAATATTAATTTCTATCCTCTCAAAACGTATACAAAGATCTTCCGCTTATAACCATAGTCTGAAAGAGAGATTACAATCCAACCAAATCTCAAAGAGTCCAAGTTTCCTTGCTAGCTACTCTCCAACATGAACTCTATACGTGTCTTCACCTAAAAGTCCTAAATTGAATGTTAACCTTAACCCCTAGGTCTCTTAACTGTTGTATACTACACTGCATAGTCTCACCTAACTAACCATGGATGCCACCACAACAAGCTACTGAATAACTGTTGTATTTTCTCTGGAATACATACACACAACTGATTAGGAGTCTTCTATTGTATTCTGGAGATAATTGAGATTTGCATTTGGATTTGCATTGGAATTGATATAATTAAACTGATTGAAGAAGACGTCTCCTGCTCAGTTAACATTGAACTCATTATCTCAATATCAGTGACCAAGCAATAATTATGACAAAAAATCACTGTCCTCATTAATCGAGAGGGTGGATCGCGCTCTCCCCCTCTAAGAACTCAAAGAACACACAACAACATGCACTAGTGCTTTCTCAAGCCAAAGTAAAAATACACAGCTCGAGAGACATTTATCAAAACCGCATATCACTAATATCACTAGAGCACTCCTCAAAGGAATATTCCCCAAGGGATTCCGGCGAGACAACCGACTCAAGCCTAACGAACTCAGGCAAACAGAGCAACGCCGTCGAGAAAAGGTACAGAATCTCCAAAGAGCATCTCGAATGAGTTTGGAATCAGCTCTCTTTACCGCGGAAGGAGGACGGAAGAAGGACGGAACGTGACGCCGGTGGAGAAGAAGGTGGGAGGGTTTACGGACGGACGGGCGGCCGTCCGGTGTGAAAATAGTTCGGGCGGACGGAAATAGGCAAACGGACGCCGTCGAGGGCTGGTGGCTAATCGGGGCCCGCCATTTAAAGCTCACCGCTCCCCGAATCCCGCGCGGCCTCGAGGAGCATCGGGCATGGGGCCGGACGCCGATGTGAGCCCCGAGCGAGCACCAGATCCAAGGATCGATCCTTGGATCCAATTCTGCCTCCCTCGCTCTCTTGCTCTCTTGCTCCCTTTTCCTTCGATCTGCTGCTCACGCAATTCGGCTCCCGATTTGGCGCGCCATTTCGATCCGATTCGAGGGATATGGCTCTTGCGTCATCTGTGCTGCGATGGCGACAGCCGGAGCGATTGGTGGACTCGAGGGTTTGATTGATCGTCCTCGCGTGTAATTAATTAGCGGGAGGAAGAATGCGGGTCACTCGATTTAGGGACGTGCGGATTTCCGAGGGCTGGCCTCTTTGGTTCCGCGCACTTAGAGTGATCGCTTTTAGCTCGCCGTGGAACCTGAGCACTTGGGCCGACGCGGTCGTTCCTGTTTGCTGAAGTTCTTGCAAGGAATCGACATCCATGCCTTCTGCAACTGCCAGATTGTGTCCGGAAGTGAGAGTTAAGACGGTCGGTCATGGGGACGGGAAATTGTCATACGACGCGCTCCAGGTACCTTGGGGAATTTCGAGTAATGTGGCTGGCATGGCTGGGCGCAACTGTCATGATCCTCGTTGTTCTGGGGCTTCACGGGAGCAGTTTACTTTTCTGATTCCATTGGGAGATCTGGTTGTCTTGATGATGCCTTGATGGATCCTCTCTATGGATGGCTGGAAGGCCCAGTTCGCCCACAATTTGGATGGAGATTTTCCAGAGAATCATGTAATGCCGCCACGCCGATGCCGAAGGCGCTTTGGTTCTTGACACTTGCCATTCTAATGCTGGGATTACACGCTGTGGATGCCAAAGGTTTTGAGCACTCCTCTGTCAATGCCACCGCCAGTCCGGTCGGTTCTGGCATCGACAACGTGACCACGCCCTTGGGCGTTGCATGTCTACCCTCGGGATCTTGCGGCTCCAGAAGGCTGTTACAGGAGGTAGCTCTTCCATGCCTGATTTGCATCCATTGTTACATTGCGTGCATTGTGGTTTGGTCACACAGCTCTCTCTCTCTGTTAAGCACCAATACTCTCCTGCGGAATGGTGTCGAATTTCAGGGTTGCACTCTGCACTCTGCGCATTTTGTGATGTTCGACGTTGACGAGTCAAGTTGTCTCACGTCTGTCCTGCGAGATATCTTACCTCCAAGATGAACGGAACTCATGACAGGATGCACTGTCCGGCTACTTCGCATCATCTCATGAGACGCACTATTATAAGCATCTATATAGGCGTCGTCCGATGTCGAGTTATAAGCTGACGGGGAGAATACCTCGCAAAGATCCCTTGGACAATTTCCATGTTTATGATGGTGGATTCAATGTCACGGACAAGCATTACTGGAGTGTGCGTTCTTAACTCTATCCCCTAGCTTCGTTTCATCTACCGAAGTCCATGTCCTGTACTTTCCGTAGCCTGTTGTCCATGCAGAGCTGTCAGAATTATTCGGGATTCAAATTCCAGATGGGTATAGATTATTGTCAAGAGAAAAACTGGACAGTTAAAAACTTTAATGCAATCAATCGTAAGTCATCATCCTATCCACTCAGGGGATACTTTTATTACCTCTACTTGTAGACGAGGACGGCAGTTGTGCAGTTGGTTTCTAATGAGAAATAATTTAATATATCATACGGATTACGGTTCGTCTTCTCGATACCAACATGCTCGAAACCACTTGGTGCATGAAGCTACGGGGAAGTAACTGCCCAGTGAGAAGAAATTGTACCTGTTGGACATTGCCCTACATTGCCCTACTCCACAACTGTTGTAGAGATTGCAGCGTGGGCAAACATGTCTGGTAGCAGCAGGCTGACAGCAGTTGCTTGACTAAACAGTTCTTGCCTTCTGCATGTTGCAAACATCGATGAACAGTCTGTTGCGTACACGGGCATATGGGGATATGTCTTGGCTTGTATATGCCTGGTCACTGCCATTATCTACTGCTTTCTGTACTGTTGCGGTTGTGCCGATCAGTCGTATGAAGACAGTGTTTCTGGCTACAAAGGGGTGCAAAGGAACGGACCACTGATCAGCATATGCATCTTCAGCTGCATTGCTATGTGAGGACTACTCTCCTCAGAGTCCCATTCAGCCTCATGAATCTGCAATTGTCCTGTCCAGCCTCACAAATCCACAATTGTAAAGTCGTCTGTCTATCTATCTTGAGTCTACAACCTGAGGATGACGCAGTTTACAGCCAATTTGATCCAACTAGCAATGTGGATAACGAATGTATTGTGGCAAAAGTTATGTATTCTGTTCAGTGCAGCTCACATGAAGTTTAGTGGTTATCTGGAAGTATCATCTGCCCAGGTGCCAATTGGAACTCGATCCATGTCGAGACTCTGAGCGTTGAATTGTTATAAGGACTTGTGTCGTGCCACACATGCAGAATAGCGGCTGGAGTGATTTACTGGGGAAATGCCAAATTAGGGCAACAGCTCCGAGCTACAGCTGGCACGCTGCTCACGGCCACTGACGGCATTCAAAGTGAGATCAACAACGCGTTGAGCATGGTGCAAGTGGCATCCATGTTTCCTATCAGTCAGCAAGGCAGCTCACAGCAGTTTCTGCAGGCATGCGTGAACCTTGGCAACACTTTTAATAACCTCCAGAAGAAAGTGAAGAAGAACAAGGATCGAGTGTACAGAATATTTGACAACGTGTATGTTCCCTATCCTCATGCACTCTTGATCACCTATTCCATTTCAGGGGTTGAACTACCAACTAGACGAAAGAGGCCCTACCGTTCGAGCATGAAGACCTCACATGACACTTTGTGGAAAAGGGCCTCAGTATATTTAACGAGTTCAAAACGTTGTATGTTTTTGTCCTACATAGCGTCAAACTCCTCATGCTTAACTTCTACTTATTCCACGTATGGATTGCAGGAAGGTGGCTTTGACGGTCGTCTCAGCCGTCCTCGCCGTGTTTGTAGTTCTAGGACTTGGTAAGAAACCAGCTACAGTTTGGGGCAGTTCATCCTGTACTTCCATGCAACTTAATTTGTTTGTGAATAAACCTTTGAGTAGCAGAATGTCATTCACATCACGGGTTTGAACCCTCCTTATCCTTCACCGTTGTTACACCACCACGCTCAGTTCAAGATGTACTTCGTGAATCCCTTACCCTCCTATTCAGCACATTAACATTTACATCTCCAAACAGCTGGAACCATCGGGAGTTGGCGATATCTGCTGATAATGTAAGCCTCCTGAAACGCCGCCTTCTCACCCCTCCTTAGTATACTGTGATATTCTTTAGACGTACGAAGGTTAAGGATAGATCGCACAGCCGACAGCAATCTGTTCACTGGATGAATAGAGTATAGTAATAGCTACTGCAAATTACAATTTTAAGTTCGTATCCTTCAGAGCGTGAAACATCGGGAGAGAATGTGTTAGAAATGTGAGAATGTGCCTCTTGCAGTTCTTAACTACTGACAGGACACGATGACTGATTCAGAACATTTGGTCTGATGATGATACTGCTGTTCGCATCCTGGATCATGGCAGGTGTAAGTTTTGCATTGACCAAGTAAGTACATCGTTGGCAACCACTGAACTGACCAAAGAACATGAGATTTCTCACCCAACTTGTCCATCGATCGTCCTTGTGGCCATTCACATTGAGATTCACCTCCTCACATGCTCCCTCCTATGCTCCTTCGAACTAAGCCACCTGTCCTGCCCTGCCCTGTTGAACAGTGTTGCCAACGATGCTTGCCAGATTATGAACGAATATGACGAAAACCCCCAGAATTCCAGTATCTCTAAGTATCTGCCTTGTCTGAGCAACTCGGACGCCGATAAGGCTCTAGCCGGAGCCAAGGAAGCCATCAAAAGCCTGGTCACTCAAGCCAATGTTGCCATAGACTGGGTGAATCGCGAAGAATCGCGCCTTTCTTCCAAGCGAAGTCAGGCGGCAGAGTTTGTTCTACCCAGAGTTTGTGACCCTTACGGACCCCCACCCAGCTACAACGATAGCCTCTGCTTATCGGGAGAGACATCCTTCGGAGACTTCGAAAAGGTAAACCATCGAGTCCTTTAGGGTTCTCTCGATTCGCACAAGCTTTTAACTCCCGGTGATGCGTAAATTCTCAATCGGGAAAGAGTGGCACTCTCGGACATTTCAGAAGTTCACAGCGGATAAATTACTGAAGTCGAAACAACGTGAAATCTCTAATTTCTCCCTCCAGAACGATGGATACAATCACTTGTCAGACAGTGCCTGTAGCGGAGCCAAGGGATGCACTCGAACACTCAACGAGAAGGAATGTACTGCACGAGTGATGGAATTGCACGACGAACATAACGCGAGCTGGCTGGCTGTGTGCAGGTATACGGCCCATTCCGGTGCGAGAATGACAATCTGACGCACTGCTTCGAGCAAGACACGCCCATCCCGAATTTCGCGTACGAGGAGGCCGACATGGCCATGAACGCGTCGAACATCGTGTACCGAATGCTGCCGACGATCTTCCGGATAATCACGTGCAATTTTGTCAAGGTTACGTTTGAGGACATTCTGTTCCACAACTGCAGGCCGCTGCGACGATCGCTGACGACATTGTGGGGCGGATTCATCGTCGCCTCGCTCGCCATGATGCCGCTGCAGATTTGCTGGGCCGTGCTCACCCGGCACATCGGCAAGGACCGCGAAGGCTTCCGCACCCGGACGTATTCCATGCCGGATAACATCGTGCGGCGCATCATGGGCGGCGGCTCGCCGCTCGCCCCGGCATCCCGAGCCGGCACCCCGGCCACCCCTGCCCGAGCCGGCACCCCTGCCTCCCGGGTCGGCACGCCCTCGGGCGCGCTGCCCCCGGGCCCCCCGTCCGGCGCGACCGGGGGCTCCCACAGGAACCAGGGCTTCGGCTGAGAGTAGCCCCCCCGCGCTGCCCTCCAGCGTCCGATCCCCATCCTGCCAGCGGGGCCAATCATGCGGCAGTCAGTGCTTCTCTGCTCCGAATTTGTCGTTTTAGGCCAGCGCCTGGTGGGCCCCAGCAGGAGAACATTCTCTCTCCCCCGACGGGCGTTCGGGCCCCCCTTTCCTTTGCTGCTAACGGCAGGCAGGCTCTGCGTGGCGCCATCAGTACACAGATCTCATGGGGTTGCAATCGAGAGCCCGAAGGTCGAGCTCCGAGACCTCGGCAGTCATGGACTCCGAATTTGGGAGTCTACAGCCACTTCGAGTCCTTCCTTCGGGCCGTGGCAGATATGTCGATGACAGACAGCAGCAGCGGGCGGGCGGGCGGGCGGAAAGGGACTGCTGCCATGTTCAACACACGACGAGAATTAAGAAGATGAAGAAGACGATATGCCCACTGGCCTGGCAAAGAAGTTTTCTGGGTGGCAATAGTCACTGCACCCCTCGACTTCACTCGGTGAGAAGTCAATCGTGTGGAGGAAATGCTGCGCTTGGTTTGATCGAGCGCAAATCAGAGCACGGCGTGGACGACAACCAAAACTCCCTGATCTGGATGGAAGTCTCCCGCCTCTTCGGCCACAACTCGTCCTCAGCTGAATCGAGAGTCTGCGCCGATGAAGAGGAGAATGAGTGTCCGATAACCGCAACGGTTGTTCACTTGCCATGTGTGTGTGCAACGAGACCACAAGGCTTCTGATCGAAAGAGGTGGGAGATAAATCCGGAGACTCTAAGGGGCCTTGCAAGTAAGTGAACCTGAGTGCCCGCATCTCAGAGAGTGTCAATTTGGCGTGCTCCTCCTCTACCATCAGCCCTCACTGCGAGTGCCCAGCCAAGCACGCGGTGCGGAAGAATTTGAGAGACGCAATGCTGGAGACGAAGGACATGTTGTGCTCGGCGTTCTCAGCTGTCAGTCACCACGGTCCGTCGTGGGTAGAAGGATCTCTACATCCGGCTCCACAGCTCCTGTATTGATTAGAGAGAAGCCATGCATATTTATCCCGAGGCATCTGCGCAGTCTGAGAGCTGTGATCGTGGAAGGAATTTTGGTATCAGGTAGAGAGTTACAGGTCTCCTCCCTGAGATGGAGAAGCACCTCAGAGAGAGAGAGAGAGAGAGAGAGAGAGAGAGAGAGAGAGAGAGAGAGAGAGATAATTTTGACAAAAGGCGGTGCAGAAATCTGGATTGTATAATGAGTCATTGAACAGATGATTCAAGGTACCTTTACCCAACCGCATCGTCCACATCCAGCCGCTGTATTAGTAAGTTACCGACTCAGCTCAAGATGGAAAGAGTGAAAATCATCTCACATGGACTCGTGCCGTAATCGTATCGATCGCTCTTTTATTTATCTCCCACTGATCTCTTTCAAAGCAACAGAACTCTAAAACATGCCACACTTGCACGATTGGTTCCGATGAACAAGGTCGATCGGTGGAACTGACAAGGGCTCAGACAGATGGTCGTACGAGCATGTGCTGAAGGCCCTCCATCCGCTTCAGCCTCGTAGGACCATATCTATGCACGCGAGCTGATAGGACACAGCCACGATACAAAGGTCGTTGTGCTCCTGCAAGTCAATACGTTCGGTGTTCTGGTGTTCTCGCGCGTACATCGAATGTACCGAGCTAGCATTCACTCCGTGCTCCATTGTGGGGTACCTTTCGCAGTTCAGATACACGAGTTCGCCCTCGTGTCACGTGTATGGCTCTAGCGAGAGGATATGTGCAAGAGAGTGTTCTCGAGAGTGATTGGTCTCGTGGTACCCGGACAAAGCATCTAAGCTCAAGTCAAGCTCGAGCAAGAAGTTCAGGTCAGCAGCATGCTGCGAGAAGATGAGCTGCAGCTGCGAGTCCCTTCATCGCTGTCCGCCATGAGGAAGCACACGGTGACAAAGCCGATCGATCCGGTGGCTAGAATCGACGAATGCCAAATCCTCAAATCAAACGCACAAGCAAAAGCAAGCAAACTGGCCGCTTGCCTCAGCATCTCCCCCGAACAGCACACGGCGTCACGATGTACAATGCCTCGTCTGAGGCGTGTGAGGTGGAGTCGAGCTCTACCCGAAATCCCTTCGACCTCTCGGAAAGCTCGTCAGAGCTGAACTCGATCGGCGAGCGTATAGTATCATCGAGCCCTCGAGCCCTCGAGCCCTCGAGCTAGTAGGCTCTTCCTGGCGCTAGCTACCCAAACACATACATCCCACTTCGATCGACAGAAGTAGCAACACGGATTGGAGAGAAGCATAGAGCCCCAGCGCATGCCTGACGCACGAAATACTCAAGACTTCTGAAGATTAGGCGAGGCGGAAAGAATGAACCTGGAATGAAATGGAGCAGAGGTTCGAAACATGGCGGATCAGGGGCTGGATTCGGTGGCGGCGTGCAGGTAGACATGGCGGCCGTGGAGCTTCTGAGTGGGCCGAGCGCTGGGCTCGGGGAGGATCTGGCGGAAGGCGCGAATCTGATCGGGCGAGATGGTGTTCCAGTGGTCAAGCGACACGGTCCAGAGCACGTCCTGCGTGCAGGGCGGCGTGGTCAGCGAGCCGCGGTAGCGCGCGTAGTCGGGGCCCAGGCGCAAGTGCGGCGCATCGACCACCAGGAGCCCGATGTCTAGCGCCACCCCGGCGCCAACAAGCGCCAGCCTCGGCACCTCGCGCCAGAACTCGTCCAGGAAGGGACTCGGCGGCCCGTCCTTGAACGGCACCCCGATCACCGCCAGCCTCGCCGTCGTCCCGCCGTCGACGTCCACGTCGCCGTCGAGGCTCTCGTGCACCATGTGCATCTCCAACGGCGGGCGCACGCCGTCGATCACGTGCTCGCTGGGCGAGTGGAAGTGGAAGTGGCGCAGCTCGTACTCGCGACCGTCGACCCACAGGCTCCCCGCGCCCGCGACGACGTCCACCGTGAGGGCGTGCCCGTCGCTGAAGAGGACGGCCGGCGACGGGGCGTACGATGAGAAGTTGAGCGCCGGGAGCGCCGGGAGGTCGCGCCGGGCGCGTCGGCCGTCGGTGCGGATGTGGACGGGCGACTGCTCGCGGCCCGCGCTGCAGGTGGCCCAGGCCGGGTCCAGGCGGCCCCAGTTCTCGGGCCCCGTCGGGCTGTGCTCGCGGTACCCGAAGTCTACCTCGGCTGCCACCACCACCGCCGCCACCACCACCACCACCAGAGTCGACCACCGGCACCACCGGCTCCACCGGCTGCGGAGCATCGTCGTCGTCTTCACGAGCACGAGGAGGACGAGAACCACGATTCTCCCCCCGAGAAGAATTTCACGCCTCGCCCACGAATCAGCTGCAGCAGAGGCTCTCGTTGTTGCTCCAGCTCCAGCTCCAGCTCGAGGCCGCAATTGACCTTCGTCTCGAGCGGGGACGAGTGTATCGTTCTCCTGGGAAACAACTCTCACCGGGCTCGATGAATGTTGGCAGTCGCGTTTCTGTGAGTGCAGCAGCAGCAGCAGCAGGACGGGAATGGTGGAGGAGACCTTACAGCAGTGAGCATCCCTCAGCTGCTGCTGCTGCCTAAAAGGGCCAGCCAGGCCTTAAGACTTGCACCGCAACGCTGTCTGAGCTCGACGGCCCACTCTCCTGATAAAGGGACAAAGGGACCAATAATACAAAACCTCGCTCTGAACGTCCACATCCATCCTGCCAGCGAAGGGCAAGTGGCTCAATGTCAAATTACGCAGCCTCTGCACTTCAAGTACTTACCGACCTTCACGAGGAAGGTGAACAAACTGCAACTTCCGAGAGATCTCGACAACTCTTGGCAGGGGAGGTATCGTTGCAGCAGGTGCCCATATCCAGACACTGCTCTGTCATCATTTCCACTCGGTGGGTGTACGGAGGACACTCAGAGTTGCGTCATATTGTGTTCAGAGTCACTCCGGCCACCGAACCACTAGATTCAGCCGCTTGAGGGTCAGAAATTGGGGGCAAATTCAGTCGGTGTGTGGCCTTTGAGTGATTTTCACTCGACTGGACAAATGTGGGAGTTTCCATGAAGACATACATGGAGGGAACCAAAAAGGCTGGCACACAAGTGGAGCTCTGTCCTTCTTTACCTGATGGTTTTGATTTATCTGTGCCTCCATGTATAGTTCTCTGAAAGTCTTCCATGTCGAGTCAAGGTCTCATGCCCACTCTATGTCTTGGAATGAGAATGTAGGGGCCAAGTCGTATAAAACGAATGGGAAGATCCCATCGAGGCCTTATCACGAATAAACAAAACCAAAATCTGGGAGCTATGATCCACTAAACACCACGGAAATTATGCAGTACAGTCCAGATCCCTTGGGTATGTAAATTGTTCAAGACAGACGGTCTAGTCTACGCAGCAATCACCAATCTCGATTGTTCGCTTATGTTTAGCGCCATCTAGTGTTCCATATGGTAATGGAATGTTCGTTAACACAACCTCTTCAGTAAACTGATATTTCTGCCACTTTGTAGTAAAATGGACTGTAAGTGAAGTCTTCCCCCATTGGCTCCATATGGCTTCAAAAGTACGAGATGTAAGTTGATAATATTTTGCATACTCTCTTTACATACATAGAAATATTGGATGTTGTCTGTGGGTTATGTGATCGTTCACGTCTGAGTTGGCCACCTAAGTTGCATGAACTTGCTTAGAGATTGTCTTGCCATTTAGATGTAAAGGAAACTTTCTGTTGTTCTCTTAAACAATTGTGACATATTTCAAGGGATCACTACGTCTCAATTAACAATTGGCTGTATAATATAACCAAAAGCAAACCATCAAGTACTTGAACCACACCATATATCCTAACTCATGTTCCAATCGTTCTCAGATTTCGAGATTTCGTTGTTCATTATCATCTATATTTCAAATCTGGAAAGCTTTACTAGCAGAAACCTTCAGTATCATAACATACTATCACAAAAATAGCTTTGTGCGTTGCAATACTGCAACTCTGATTGTGAACGCAACTTGTTCCTATCATAGAGAACTCAAAGCTCTCACATTCGAGAAACATTCACAATTCAACAAAAGTTTTTGTGTCTCTCCTCCTCTTTCACCACGTTTTCTTCTACGAAATCGCAAGTCCCATCTCGCTCCGCTTCGATCAGAGAAAATCACTGCATACATATTCTAGGCGAGACTGCCACTCTCAAGCTCAGATTGCAAGTTTTCTAAAGCGTAATTCATCCGGCAAGAATCTGATCTCCATGCTGAACGTGACGGACAACTCCTGGCATTCTACTCTGAACAATAGTTTGACACTTGCCTTAATCTCTGATTTCCATTCCGAACATGAGAATCGTCAGCTTGCGGGCCTTCCTCGTTCCCTTGCGCTCAAGGACAACAGGTACGGGCGCTAGGAGGGTCCTCTAGATCATCACCCTGGTGAATTTGTCCAGACGCCAAGGACTCCAAGGGCCCTGACATTTCCGTTATGTTCTCTACTGGCACATATCTCCGAGGATGGTCAGACTCGTCACTCGTCTGGTTCTCACTCTGGGTGTTGCAGAAGCTCGGGTAAAACAGTTTCTTCGTTTCAGTGCATTCCAGTGTAAGGAACTAACGGTTCCTATATTTCTTGATTCATGGTTATTTCGACGTTCAGTTACTGTACTTGATGACTTCAAGTAGCCTTAATCATCTCACTCCAATCCACTTTGATATCGACGTGTTCCTGTCTTACATCCAATTTTACTCGTCACTACTCAAGTCTTCTTGATAACGTTTCCAGAGACAATCTATTCTGTCAAATTCTTCATCGGTCCTACGTTCGTCTAAGATCCAAATGAAAACATTCCCTGCATAGGCTACGGCACTCCAAATGATAACTTGTTATTCCACAAGATTGTTCACTGTCCGGATGGTGGTGCTAGTTAAGTATCTTTCGTAAACGCCGCATGACAATGACTATGGACTCCCCCGTCTTCAGGAGCTGCATAAAAATAAGCTCTACTAACATCATCTCCGAACTCTGAAATTGAACTTATTGAAAACTTTAATTCACTTCGACTTTGCTGAATACATGGACCAGGGTAGTTGTCTAGAAAGGTCCACAGATGAACACACAACATCAACTATATGCAGAAACTCATTTACATCTCAGAAAGTCAACTCTTAAGTATGCGCCTGCCACAGCCTGAAATCCAAAACTTCGCGACATGGTTGAGTAGTTTGTATCTTAATGAATAAAATGCAAGCTAGCTCTTGCACTTTCCGGGAACTTACTCATTTATTCTGCGTGGATCTTGGAAAGAAACGATCCGTACTGCCCAAAACTTCATACCCAAGGAGGACAAACCTCATGGCAATCAGGTTTGTCCGGCTACAATCATATAGGCTTTTTATGAGGTTATCGGCTTGTGTCAAAAATCGAGACTGGGGACTTCCTTTTCACTCTTCATCAACGTCGTCATCATTCTATAGCGGCCTCGCGGATTGACTATCCGCTGTCCTCCACCGTGTAACAGAACTCTGAACATCAAAAAAATACTGCTCTACTGTATCGACAAGAGATTTTTCACATTCCTCGGTCTCAAAGCCCCGTCGAGTTCCTGGACTTCGCATTAGATTCATTCAATCAATCCTGTTTCTTAATTCTCAGCCGTAAAAATACGAAACGGTCCAGCTCTAACTGAAACTCTCCGCAGCATCCTCACCAGCACAGAGCTTGAAAGGCACCTAGATCGAACAGTCCTTTTCTTCACTTATGCCCTCCTCAATCTCCACTTGGTGCCGTGGAATGGTAGGCACATAGGAATTGACATCAGCAGAAGGTGGGGCTGATCCAAAACTTCGCTTCACAAAAAATGAATACTTTCTCAAAAATAACTCACGGGAGTATGCAAGGTACGATACCACATAAACGCATTGAGATCTTCGAAAAACAGCAGCCTACCTCGAGCAAATAACGACATACATCGCAACTAGAAGAAAAAAAAGGCTACTCTCTACACTTTTGTTGACGGTGAATACCTCGTAGATCAGGACTACGTGTTATAACTTCTGTCACCCGCATCCCCCAGGCCAGGAATGATGTACCTGTGACACATACTCATATCCAGATGCATTTATCAGACTTTCGAATGGGCTTCATCATCGCGGAAGAAGGGAGGATATGCACATTTCGGCAAAAGTGAAATCTCACCCCTTGTCGTTCAGCTCTGGGTCAATGATTCCAGCATAAACTCGCAGCCTGCTCGTTCACAGACGAAGACAGAATGTACTCAGAATTGAGAGTTGTGATTGCATGACGACCATAGACCCCCCGTCGTGGAGAGAAGAAAGCAGACAGCAGAAATATTTAAACGAGAAGTACAACCTGTGCATTCTTGATCAAAAGGAGGTGATTACGAACTTACCCTGGAAATTTCTCACTCAGTTTCGTAAGTGCCGGTGGTGCGGCAACAGCACATATCTGCAGAACATAGTGAGGATAGTAGCTCGTCATCAAACATACCGTGCAAAGACGACTCAAGACAGAAAACTATTGGCACATCTTATGTTAGAGGCTTACCACCCGCATGAGCTTGGGATCAGCTCCACGATTTCTTAGCTCCTCAAGAGCCGCCACTATAGTACCTCCTGCAAAATAGAAATTGAAAGTAACGAGAAAATCACCATAATGGCTGCGGTTTTCATTGAGAGTTGTCTTCATTCTCACTCACGAAGCACAATTCGTCGTGATTGCCATACCGGTTGCGAGCATGGGGTCTGTGATCAACACTCTTGAACCCTCTGGAAACTTTTCTGGTAGCCTGCAGTTTAAAAGGCGGCAACCCATCAGTTCCTTGGACTACCCAAGATTCAGATATGTTACAGAAATAGTGACTTCATCCTGATTGTCGGGAGACATCAATCTTTACAATGCTGACTAAAGATAAGCCCCGTCTCCAACACAGAACAGCAGGAAAAGAGGTCGTTACGACGACTGACACAAACAACTCACTTATTCAGGTACATTTTTGGCTGCAAAGTCTCCTCATCGCGTACATAACCTGATCCAGAAGAGAAATGAAATTAACGAAGTCTATCACCAGCGACTCCTGTAAGGTCTTCTTGACAGCTGGAAAGGGACAAGCAATAGACAAAACAAGGATTGTGTAAGAAATGAGGAGGAACTCCTACCTAAATGATATGTCTGTGTTGCTGGAAGCACAGAGCCAATTTGTTCCACCAGTACTAAACCTGCCCTCAATATGGGCACAACCTGCCGAGAGAAACCAAGACGTTCGCGACAGAGTGATTTGACAAAAGTTCCCTATTTCAGCTGAATAGCAAACGTAAGCTTCTGATATCAGAACTTTGGCTCCATAAAACAGTGGCTTCCATACTACAAGGTATCAAACTTTCCACACTCGTTACTAACCTTCACAGGCTCTCTTGGGTCGATGAATTCGCATTCTGCAATTCCACAAGGCGTTTGTATTTCGCCACTCACCGTGACCTGTACGCAGTGTCACATGTTAATGACAGTTGATTTGATATGGCAAAGCCAAATCTCATTTCTCCAGTTCTAGAATCTCAATACTCAACTTCACTATTCTTGTGGTCACCAGTCACGTCAAACCCATGTGAGTGCTTTGAGCACTTGAAAAGTCAAGAAAATATGATGTGTCTTGAAACTCACCAGCCAATCACGTGATGCTTCATATATAAGAAGCCGCCCGAGTTCAGCCATTGCACTCCCTGAGAGAACCGTCGAAGAGTTGGATCACTAATCACAGAATCTTACAACGATTTTGCAATTATGCAGGATTTAATATGCACAACAGCCCAAGCTCAAAATGAGTGTTGATCTTCTGAAGCAATCTATAAATACATTCCGGATCACGGACTTGCTTCAAAGGTTGATGAAATAGTTCACTGGTCTCTATGTATGGACTATACTTTTCAGCAGTCTCGGACGAAAAACCTACTCGTCATCGTTTCTCATCTCCTGGAAACAGATGCGTACAATTCTACAGAAGACTAATTGAGATCTACTCGAGAACAGTCTCAAATAAACACCAGCAGTCGTGTGTAAAATCGAGCACGAAGTAAACCGAAAGCAGTTGAATTCAGAAGCAGAATTGGTGGAATTCACCGTTGGAAAAATCAATGGTGAACAGCACAGGCGAGAAGAAAAACAAAACGGACTGATTGTTTAATTACATACTGAACAAGGGAGAGGGCGTCATTTCGTTTCGAAGGACGGAAACCCAGTGCTTGATGAGCGGATGCGGTGGGACGTACACCTGAACCCAACATCCACGAGTTACTACTCGTCTCAGATATGAATGACTCGTATTCTCTATGGCCTGCTCAACTTAAAGATCGTCTCGCGATAAATTCTTGCATCATACTCGAAGTCACCAACGCTTTCGTGTGAAAATGGCACCTCGGAAAATTAAAAAATGCATAAAACAGGCTCCTCAGAAAATCAATTCAGCTGTTCAGGCAAGCTGCTAAAAAAAACCGATTGCGCCACTCCAGAGATACACAATTCACATATATGCGCACCAGCATTTGGTCTCCGCCCACGGGCTTGTTGTTGAGTGTAGCTGCACATCTTACAGCAACAGACCTCTTTGACCGACCGACAGCATAACCTGCTGCACTGCCATGCGAGCGCCTAATTCTCAATGCCTGCACAAGTTCCAGACCCACCAAACGCTTCTCATACGATCGAACCCCATGCACATTCGAATTGCACGAACTTCGTGCGCCACCAAAAGTATAGGGATGCCAGATGATAACGAGAGCTCGCCTGCTGTTGTAACGAAGAAGCCGGCATCGGCATCGGCATTGTCCAAGGCACCGGACGACGGGTCGAAGAAGGAGCAGCAGCGAGAGACTGCATTCCTCCCCATTGAGAGGCAGCAGTCAGAACGCCCGTGCTCAACGTCGCCATGGCTCGCTCGCACACTGTCGCCAAATCCGACAATTGCTTCAGCGATTGTCCACAGATTGCGTCACTAAATCTGAAAACCCCGTCCGAGGTTTAGTTGCGAGCGATCGTCGATCAAACGACGATAAGTACAGGTACACGAGCGACCGGTACTTGCTGGCCACATTTTCCTCCCCCCCCCCCCCCGCTGCTTCGCCTTCTTCGTCTGCTTCGTCTGTTCGATGCCCCGAGCACTGTCAGCTACACGACAGCGGACTCTGTTCCCCCTCTGTTTCTCAATGTGACTACAGACATATGGCATCGTTTCTGGTGATCATTTTCTCGAAGGTGTCTTCGCACAGCTTTTCTATCCACTTGGACCCTTCTCTTTTTATTTATTGTGATAATATAGGATTCGATAGTAAAGTTGAGTGACATCAAGTTATGACAATGCTTTACACTCTTTTCTTTTATTCATGTATGTAATGGTGGAAAATGAGAGTTCTATTTTATTTGGACTTTGTTATTTGTATGTTATCTATCCATTTGCCCAAATTCCTTATCTATGTGTAACGTGGTGGATCCGATGAAGTGATCCAACACGTATCATTTTACCTATATGAATTTCAACTACGGAACATCGCCAACCATGTTTTAATACGGTACCATATTACCTCATCAACGAGCCAAGTGCGCCAATTTTCTCAAAACTCGAACAATACGCGGGCAAACAGATGCGACCACTAAAAACAAAAAATATATACAAAGGGAAAGAGAATGAAGGAAGAGAGAAAGTTGAAGATCAATCCACCTCAATAAAAAATGAGAGAGGGAGAGGGAAGAGAAAAAGCGAAAGGGCGAATTTCTCCGAAGTGGAAATGGCAAATTTTTCGGATATGCAGTCTCTTCCCAACACTATAACCGTCAACTATATAGATATAAAAACTTCTTATTTTAATATGCCTGCGTGCGAGAGTCTCTTCGTGTAGTTCATCAAGTAGTTTCCTCCTGCCTAACGCTATTGGAGTCGATCCATGATTAGTTTGGAAAAGAGAACTTGGATCATACCTTCAGAATTTCATAATCTAACAAATTTAATCTACTTTTGTCTATGACTCCGAGTACTTTATCGAAACATATCCATAACTTTTTTGCCACTGTAGTCAAACTTATGTTGTGTAAGAAAATCATTTTGCCATCCTACCAAAAGTTGCATTCATCTCTCGACCTATGATTTGGAAAAAAATTTCAATATAGTATCTTGAGATTGGAATATGTACAACATCAAGTTTTATTGTAAGTTCCACAAAAAAACTTTCACTTGTACTTAAATGTATGAAAATTTGGTGAAGCGAACATTCCGGATTCTATATATTATTAATTCTGTTATGTTTGCTCTAACTAGTGCAAAGAGACAAAAAAATGCAACGAACAGCAACGGAGTCACAATTTAAATTTTTCATTTCATATGAGGAAATTTTTTACAGCTAGAAATTAAAACATGTGATTTAATTTCTAATTCCAAATTTTTTTCAAAAAAATTTGAGATTATGACAATACAATTCTGATATTGTGTATATGGTTTAAGATCACTACCCTCAACCCAAATGCAATCATCTGCTGTTTGTTTACTAGATCCAAGAAATAATATCTTCTCAATTTGTATATTTGAAGTATTTTTTGAAATTTATGCATCATTATCAAAATATAAGAGATGTCGTAATAATGGACTAAATCTTTACATGTATCAACTTCCATCAAAATTTGAATTTGAACACAACATATTCTGCTAATGTGATATTTCTAATTAGTTATCACATACATAAAAAATCATCCAACTATAAAAAACTAAATTATCTATATATTGAAAATAATATTAAAGTATAAAATACAAATTGCAAAATATTTTTTCTATAATTGCACATATCTAATGCTATATGATTTGAAAAATATATTATTTCTATGCAATCATACAAGTATTGAATATGTCCAATTTCAACATACATTTATTTCAAATAGTAAATCATCATGACACATTTTTTAAAAATAATTTATATCATGCATTCATCATAAATGATATGATCCGCTTAATCATAGAAATAGTATATGAAACATAATTTATATTCAAAATATAATATTTGTATCTCTAATTTGTTAATATGATACATGCAAGATAGCCATAGCCAGACACACAACAAACACAAGACACGAGGATAATGTGGTTCATTGAAATGTCAAAACACGCAAGATGAAGTGTATTGAATGGCAAAAAGTACAGTACAGTATATCATGCATTCATCAAATAAATGATTTGATCAGCTTAATCCTAGATTAAAGTATATGAGACATAATTTCTTTTCAAAATATATTAATTTTATAACCAATTTGTTAATTCAAGTCACACAAGATAGTCATAGCTAGACATAGGCTTGGCCACGGTCCGGACCGACGGTTAATTAGTTAATCAGTCAAAAAAAAAAAGTTGTCCGTGCGAGTCTTGAATCTTGAATTTCTTCAGATTCATTTGATTTGATCCATTTAGTCCATTCAATCGTTCAGATCCGTTTGATTTGACCCTTTAAGTGTTTGGATTCGTTTGATCGGACTCGTTTAGTCTCAGTAAGCTATATAATGAATCGACCGACGGTGTCTTCTTGTCTTTGATAAAGGAGGAGATATTGATAATAAACAAGTAGTGGTGGAACCTGTATCCACTGAGTCTCGTTACTTGTAAGTTCAAACATCAATTTGAACTTAGTGAATATAATTTGTTCAGATGTTCAAAAATTCAAATTCATTCATCGTTTAGATACAAAGAATTGACTGATCTAGACTGCTAGTGTGCAATCCTCATGCTATAACTCGCCCGTGTCCATGCGATGCAATATTTCGTGCAATTGGCCACGGCCAATTGCGCAAAATACTTATGATAATTGTCCAGAGAAAATTCTCATTGTAATTGACATTTTCATATCATTCACATGTACAGATTGTGACATTTCATGAATTGTCTTGTCCTCTAACCATGTGTAACGGATCCAAATCAAAGGCCTTTTTCTTTGCCCTTTGACCCAACGATGCGTTTGATCATGGTGCATTGCACTTCAAATTTAGCTCAGAATTTCACAAAAATCATAATCCCAGATGCACTGTTACATTAGCTCAGACGAGTAATCATCAATGAAGAAAGTCATTTGTTTCACGACCTGTTTGATTACATAAATTTTGCACTGGCCGATTGATGTCGCAGCTCAGTGTGACATTGAATTCCGACCTTTCGCTACCAATGTATTTATTATGTGCATCAATATGTACATGAAATTTCTCCCAAAACCTGGCTCGTGATGACGCAATGTGGTTCGTCTTCTGACCTAGAGAGAGTAGGGTTTTACATGCATGGCTAAAAACCATTAGGTCAACCAAGGAATACGACACAAAATGTCGGGGCTACGCCTCGACATTTTGACTTGAATATTTTTTATTCCTCAGTGTCACCCGGATTTGTCCAAAATAAAATTCAAGGGATCTTCAAAATTATTTTATACATCTGCTTCAATAATCATGTTGGATCTTTTTGAGTATTAACATGGATATTTGTGGACAAATGAAACATGGATTTGAAAATCTCAAACTTTATTTTAAACTTGTGCCCATTCCCAACAACTCAAGGAATTCTTCCCCCGGCTCAACATCACTAGGTTCCTCAACTACAATTGCCTGCACTGGTTCTTCATCATCTTCTGATGAATCAGCATCATAGAAAGCATGCTCATTTGGATTATCGTCCTCAATGTCTTGATTAAGATTTACGTTGTCACAATCATCTGTGTTGCCATCATAATCAAGGGCATTCACATTGGAATAATGATCGCAACTTGAAGTTCTGAGGCTTATGATGAAACTGTTCCTCTAGTTGTAAACAATCAAAGTTCTCCAAAGACTTTGCCAAAGTCTTGGTCCGAATGAGTGCATCAATTGTTTTGATACGCACCCTATTTCTAAGCTTAGTTCTAATACTATTGTGCAAAAAAAAACCTCATTTGGCAATGGTACTATTGAGGGGGATGACTAGACAAAGATACACAAATTTAAGCATGTAGCCTAGCTCTAGCCCATGCTCATCATGAATGTTCCTCCAGACGAGAAGAAACTCTGCATGCGGATCCTTTGTTGTTAACCACAACTGGTGCTTCATCTTCAAAAACTCTTTGTTGACCTAAGACAATACGGACGAATCAATTGGAAACAGCTGCTCTTTCTTTGTCCTGTTGCAAAAATGGCTCAACAAAATTTTGTAAGCTGAAACATCAAATTTATCAAGCTTCGACTGCTTTACTCTTCTATAAAATATAAGATCAAAAATTTTGAAGGCACTAAGCACATCTCCCTCGGGAAAGCGTTCCAAAAGATTTGCCTCAATTTCTTCCACCAGCACCTTGATGAACACATGAACGTGTTCCACACTTAAACCATGATGATCAATCAAAGGAATTCTACAACTCTCATTTACCTGCCAATTTATACACTTTGTGGTTCCATTCTCTTGAACAGATTTTAAAAACTGTTTCAATTTATCACCACGAACCCGATCCTCAGAGCCACAAATATTCCTCAGAGCAAATAAACACACCTCAAGTCGACCAGGAATTTTATGTGGTAGGTTACTGTCTTGCTCAAAATATTTACTAAATTCCTCTGAGGGTTTCAATACATCAGCAACACTATGCAGTAGGCAGATGAAAGTGACATCAGTGAGAGACTTAGATAAATCTGCAACTTTCTCCCAACCCTTATTGCATGACTTTCTCTTCAAGAACAAAATCAGCGTTGCTAAATTCTCTTGTAATGCTGCCACGCACTAAGCTCTGAAAAACCACCTAGTGGCATTGAATAATGGAAATGGTAGTTTGGACACACCTCGTCTCCTAGCAAAGCGTATCCATTGCATTTGACGAGATTATGCACCGCCTTCAGAACAACGTCCAACTCTTGAAGATCTTCCATTTGCTTGGTTGTGTCCCCAAGGGCTAATGCGGTCTTGTGCGCTGCGCCATGGACACTCAAAAGATAACCCACATATTTTTCGCAACTTTGCGCCCAACTCATTGTATCTATCAATTTGTGTCAGTACAAATAGCCGCCATCTTTGATATTGGGATATCAAAGACATTTAACACCGTACATAGCATCTGACACA